CCTTCAGAGAGATAATGTGAGGTTTCCAGGATAACCTACGGTCAAAGAGAAGGCCTAGAAACCTGACTGTATCACGTTCGGGGATACGGGAGCCATAGAGATACAAAGGATGATCGGAGATGACAGAGCGTCTAGTGAAAGTAATTTGGTGAGTTTTGGTACTGGAAAATTTAAACCCATGCGTGGTGGCCCAAGTGGAAACGGTCGACCGCATGCTGGAGAGAAACTATAATGAGATGACAGTCAGCACCTGCACAAGCAATAGCGAAGTCATCAACATAGAGTGATGACCAAATATTGGGTGGAAGAACAGAGGCCAAATCATTTATAGCAAGGAGAAAAAGTGTTGTGCTTAGAACACATCCCTGAGGAACACCTTCAGCTTGGACGAAGTCCGGGAAAAGCACATTATTGACTCGAACACGGAAATGTCTGTCAGTTAAAAAGTTCTTAAGGAAGGATGTTAGATTGCCTCGGAGGCCTAAGGAGTGGGCCTGGGCCAAAATATTATACCTCCAAGTTGTGTCATATGCCTTCTCAAGGTCAAAAAATATGGCAATAACCGAGTGATTATTTGCAAAGGCATTACGAACATACGTATCCAAGCATAGTAAGGGGTCTATGGTAGAACGGCCCTTACGAAAGCTATATTGACTAGCGGAGAGACTGTTGTGTGTCTCTAAATACCACATTAAGTGTCGATTTACCAGACATTCCATCACTTTGCAAACTGCACTAGTAGAGCGATGGGACGATAGTGGGAGGCATCATGTCCTGTAGTACCCGGCTTGCAGAAAGGGAGAACAATGGCAGATTTCCACAGCTGGGGAAGAACTCCTTGTGCCCAAATAAGATTGAAGAGATGTAAGAGGACTACAAGGGCTGACTGATATAAATGTTGTTACATACGAATATGAATGTCATCAGGCCCAGCTGCCGATGATCGGCAAGCTGAGAGCGTTGCCTCCAGTTCCTGAGTGTAAAAGGCACATTATAGTGTTCTTCTCTGAGAGAAGAAAAGTCCAAGGGTACTAACTCTCTGGCAGACTTTGAGGAAAGAAACGAGGGGCATAGATGGAGCCCCCGGGAAATACGGACCAGATGAGTGCCAATTTCAATGGCAACATCAAGAGAGTTTGCTACATCAACATCAGCGACCTGTAGAACAGGAGCCGGGTCAGGAGAGTATTTACCACTCAGTTTCCTCACTTTTTTCCAGACTGCACTCATAGAGGAAGCAGAGGTGATGGTGGAAACATAGTCTCGCCAGCAAGTGCGTTTAGCGTCACGGATGACACGGCGAGCTATCGCACGCTTCTGCGTACAATCAAGAAGTCTCTCATCGGTTCTATTGTACTGGTACCTGCCCCATGCAGCGCTTTTCAAACGTACTGCACGAGCAAAAGCAGGAGACCACCAAGGCACGTACTTCTGAGAATGCCTGCCTGAGGTTTGGGGTATAGAATGAGAAGCTGCGGTATAAACTGACATCAAGAAGAGGTGTAGGAGCTCATCAATGGAGGATGAAGAAGGAACCTCACTAAAAGCAGTGAGTTGCGAGTAAAGGTCCCAATTTGCCCGATCAAATTGCCAGCAAGGGCTACGGAAAGGTGGTGAATAGGAAGGAGAAGTAAGAATGATTGGAAAATGATCGCTGTCATGTAAGTCCGGTAGAACAGACCAGGTGAATTCTAGTGCAGTGGAGGAAGAGCAGACTGATAGATCGATGCAAGAGAGAGTATGAGTACAAGGATCAAAATGGGTGGGATAACCATATTTAAAACATGGAGGGGGTGAGAGGCGAGAAAAGCCTCCAACTGGCTGCCACGCGAGTCACAATGAGACCCCCCCCCCTACCCAGAGGAAATGGTGGGCGTTAAAATCACCAAGTAACAGAAGTGGTGGTGGTAAGGATGAAAATAGAAGGGCAAAATCTGGGATAGAAAATGCTCGAGAAGGAGAGAGATATGAAGAACATATTGTAAACCACTTATGCAAGTGGATACAGGCTGCAGTGTAATGCAGCGAGGTATGGACAAATAGTTGACAGTACGGAATATTGCGTAGAAGAAGGGCACTTTCATTAAAGGTCCCATCTGAGAAAGGATCCGAATACAATAAATTATAACTTGAGATAGGTTGGAAAACAGCTGAGTGTAATTTTGGTTCTTGTAAGCAAGCACCAACAGGGGAAAACCTGAAAAGCAACATCTGAAGCTTACCCCGATTACCCGAGGCCGCGGATATTCCATTGTAAATAGGCCATGATTGGCAATGAAGAAAATACCAGGAATCCGTAGGGAAGGGCAACTATGGACTAGAGGGGTTAGAAAAGTCAACGTGTGGTGGCATTGGAAGACGTTCTAGCAGCGAAGGAACGGAGCGTTGCGAAGAATGGAGTTGTGGAGATGGAGGAGAGGGAAGAGAAGGAACAGGAGGTGGATCAGTGTCCATTGAAGGTTTAGTCTCTGCAATATATTCTGAAATGGCTTCAAGTGTTTCTGAATTCAAAGATGTATGGGAGACAATATTGGAGGTAGAAGGTGGAGGGTGAGTAAAGATTGGGATAGTAATGGACTTTTACCAAAGTAGAGGGGGACGAAAGAGTGTAGGAGATGGAAAGAAGTGTGGGAGGGGACAAAAAGAGTCAGAAACCTGGGAGGTGGCAGAAGAGGGAGAAACTTGGGAGGGGACGGGGTGGAAGGCATAGTACGAGGAGGAGGGTGAACCTCCACACTTGTAATAGAGCCAGAGAGAGGGGAAGAAACTAAGGCACAGAGACTGGAAAGGTAAAGTGCGGAGGTGGAAGAAGGGAAGAAGGGGGCAAAGAAGATTTGAGCACTGGGGATTTTTTGGACTTCCGAGAAGTAGAGGGGCGATTGGTATAAGAGTCATACGGGGTCTTGTCGATACCGGGCTTGTGAGGAAGGAAGCGAAGATGTGAAAAACAGACTGAGTTGTAGTCGGGGTGTCAGAGCCAAGGACAGCAAAAGGATTAAAATGCCGGAGTGGCTATGGGGGGGGTAACATCAGAGGAGGCTGCAGAAAATGGGACCCCCAGAAGTGGGGGGAGTTTTGAAACACGGGGAATAAGAAACACGGGGTAGTCTCCCTTGGAGGCGGAGATGAGTAACGCCCTAGCATAAGGGAGACCTTCTGCCTCTTTGAGGCAACGGATTTCATGCTCATTCAAGTAGACCTGGCAATGGTGAGAGTACGAAGGGTGAGCCTCATTACAATTAAGGCAAGATGGAGGTTGACTGCAAGATGTATTAGAATGGTCGTCAGCACCACAGACTGGGCATTCGGCTATAGATCTGCAATATTTCGCTGGGTGACCAAAACGCCAGCAATTTCTACACTGTTGCGGTGTAGGGATCACCTTTTGAACTTGTAATTGATGTCCCGCGACATAAACAGAGGACGGGAGTTCACTGCTGTCAAAAGTTAATTGAGCCACATTGCAAGGGTAACGTCTCCGCCTGTGGGCAGGAAGGACATAAGTGTCTACTTTGAGGATTGGGAGATCCTGGAGTTCCAGCTGTTCAAGAATGTCATTGCCACATGACTGGAAATTCTGTTGGACTATGGTATGGGGCAGAATGACAGTACCACTACAAGAATTGAGAGAAAGATGTTTTTCAATAGTGATAGGAGTAGTATCGATATGCGAAAGGAGAGAAAGATCATGAACTTGGGTAGCATTGTGGACAGTGACAATGCGCGTACCACTCTGGAGAGCATGAAATGAAATATCTCTACCAACATGGCGCAGGAGCGCTTTGCCAATACCATGGTCAGAAAGGCAGAAGAAGAAGTCGGTCTTAAAGAATTTAGTCCATTGTGTGGTCCGAAACTGAGCGTGGAGAGGAAGTGCATGACGTGTCGGTCTTTTCCGAATAGAATGGGAAGGTAATGAAGGCACATCATCAGGAGATTGTCGTTGGCGTTTAGGAGTAGGACCGGAGTTGGTCCGTCGTGAAACGGGCTGGCGATTCGAAAATTGCCGTACCGTAGAGGGAGAGGCCGGAAGCATAGTCAAAGGAGAGCGGAGGTCAGACAAATCGAAGGAGTCAGTCGAAGCCCCGGTACCTGAAGTGGGTGAGGAAACAGCACCAGCAAGAGGTACAGGGGCATCAGGAGTGTCCGAAGAGTGGTCAAAAAACAAGGCAAGGTCAGAATGGGGTGTGGTATCAAGAAGGGGCCCGGGGGTAGTGGGTTCATGGATTGGGTTCTCCATGGTTAATTTACTCCTTCGCTTTATGTTTTTAAGAAAAACAAAAAGAAAGAAGAAAAGAAAATAAAAATAAAAAAAGAATAAAAAAAGGGGGGAGTGGGGAGGAATAGTTCCCAGGAGGAATGAAAGGGCCGGAAGTCTCCCTCCGCGCCCAAGAGGACCTCAGCACCGCTAGTAGCGCAGATGCAGCATGGAACCTGTGCCATACCCTCCCCTTCATGCCAGTAAACCAGCAATCTGGGATAGCAACCTCACATCTGCCGAGCTACCTCGGTGGACAAAAGAGAGGGCGGCCGGATATCCGCCACCACCCCCGGAATCCGAAAGGTGGCTTCCAGAGATACATCCATCGCCCGAAAGACACCCAAAGCCACTCTCCGGGATACCGGAGAGGGATTGGGACATCCCCAGGCGATCCAGATTCCACGGCAAACTACGCCATTGCCAAGAACCTCAATGGAATGGGATGGACCCCGGTACCCTTTCCCTTACCTAGGAACTAGCGCGCCTGTGGGAAAAAGGCCAAAGGCCAAAAAGAGGAAGGGCAAAAGGGAGGGGTGGGGAGGAGGAGGAGGAAAGGGAAAAAGGGAGGATGGGATAGGGAAGGGGGGATTGGGGTTAATTAGGTTCGGTCTGAGGAAGGAGACCAACAGGTTTAATTCCTCAGACCAAGAGCCTCTTCACCGCGACAAGGAGCCCCCCCCCCGAAGAGGTTTCCTTGCTGAATTGTACCATATTCTAGGACATTTTTTTACCAAATGCATTTACTATTTTATATACTTTATTTTTGTTTTAAATATTACATTTGAAATACTGTACTCTTTAATAATTATAATTTAAAAGTATTGCAGAATTGTCTAGCTTTAGCACTGTTATATTTATTACTGGATACAACAATATCATTTTTGTTTATATTGATGGGGAAGCACTAAATCCTTAAGGATCATACAGTAGTTTAGGAATGGCAGGCAATCAGATTTGACCTATAAAAGGGGTGAGTAGCTCCACTCCCTCTGATTAAGAGCCTTTACCAATGTTAAGGTACCCCACTGAAGGGGTATGCAAAATTTTTACAATGACAATAGAACATAAAATACATGAAGTACAACATTTTAGGTGCTGCTATGCATTATTATACAGTACTGAATTCACAAAATGACAAATCTGTATTAAGTCAAAGTGCTATACATTCAGGGAACCCTAAAAAAAAAAAAAAAAATTAACTAAATTGCCCTTTCCTTTTAATAATTTTTCCCTTTGAGTAGCTTCAGCTTCATGTTAATGAGTCTTTGCCCTTTTCCTCTTATTTATGGTCTTCTTTCTTACATTTTTCATATTTTTTTCTTTCTTTTGCTTCTCATAAGTTGGTGGTTCTTGAGCTTTGTATCTCACTAGTTCATCCTCTGTCATTGGCTCGATGATAGTGCCCATCTTAGTAACCACTGGTGGTGTTGTTAATCTCTTATGTACCATCTCGGTCACAAAAATCCTACCTACTGGTGTCCGCACTGAAGCTTCAAAGTCCTTCACACTGGTGAATGGATAAGGCAAGTCGCTCACCTGAAACAATGGCAAAGGTAAGGAAATTATGAAGTAATCAGAAAATCACAAGGGTGACCACAGTAGTCACCATGTCAAATATGAGTCAATACTGTGGCTGGGGATGGGGGAATGCTAACCTCGAACAGTACACGCCCTGAACTTTTGCTCATTCTTAACCTTCGCACATTTGTACTTTCACGTGTTCCTTCTCACAGCGTTGTATGACTGTTGTGGGTTTAGTGTTTAGTTTGAGTATTATAACAAAAACCCACACTCAGAGGAAACTTTAGATGTTTGGTCCATCCTAAATCATTATCAAGTTAACTGACAATATTGGTTAGGGATAGGTCAAAATGTCTCTAGTTTCCTCTCCAAGTGTGGGTTATTTATGGTTTCAAAAGAGAATACCATATCATTCATAAGTCATTTTGCACTGTATAGAAAGAGGGTGCTTGCATTCAAGGATATTGTGAGAAGTGAGTACATAGGTAACAGGTACAGTTGGTGTAATAAATCAGTCTCAGTTAAAGTTAAATGTTAAGATATATGCCATTCAGTATACACTTATCCCCTGTCGAACACTGGCTGCCTCATAAAACTAAGAACCATTTTTACATGCTTCCGCTGTATAGCCCTTGTGGCTTAGCACTTCTTTTTGATTATAATAAATAATAATTTTACATGCTTCCTGAATGTTTCTCAAATTTAATTTTTTGTTTTTCTTTACCGTGGAAGTAACGGGGTTAAATGTTTCCTCCCCAACAGTCATGCATGTTACACTGCACCTACACTGCCTGGAGCACTCTTTACTCTTTCTCTTGGAATTAACTAAAACAGTACAGCAGAAGGAAAATTTAATTGTACAGTAGATTGTTTTAATGTAGAATATTTAAATAAGTGGTATTATTGTATAGATTATGAATAAAAACAAACTGGATATTTAGGTGCTATATGAAAGTTGAAAGTGACCATAGATAAAAGTGATGAGGGTATGAAATAAGTTAGGTAAAGAAATATTGGATATCACATTGGAGGGAGGGAGTATGGAAGAAGTGAATGTGTTCGGATACTTGGGAGTAGACTTGTCAGCAGATGGGTTTACGAAGGACAAGGTAAACCGTAGAACTGATGAAGGAAAGGTGGGTGGTGCACTGAAGTATCTGTATAGGCAAAGAAGGGAATGTGTGAGAGTATAGTGGTACCAACACTCTTATATGGGTGTTATTATTATTATAATCAAAAAGAAGCGATAAGCCACAAGGGCTATACAGCATATGGGTGTTAAGCATGGGTTGTGAAAGCTGCAGCGAGGAGGAGGCTGGAGGCAGTGGTGATGTCATGTCTAAGAACAATGTGTGGTGTATATATTATGCAGAAAATTCGTAGTGTGGAAATTAGGTGGTGTGGAGTTACTATAAGTATTATTCAGAGGACTGAGGAGGGGTTGTTGAGGTGGTTTGGTCATTTAGAGAGGATGGAATAAAATAGGATGACTTTGAGGGTATATAAATCTATAGTGGAGGGGTAAGGGTCATCCTAGGAAAGTATGGAGGGAAGGGGTAAGAGGTTTGTGTGTGCTCACCTATTTTAGGTTGCAGGGGTCGAGACATAGCTCCTGGCCTATGTGTTAGTGAATGGAGATGAATGGTTCTTGGGACTTGACAAGCTGTTGGAGTGTGAGTGGGGTAATATTTTGTGAAGGGATTCAGGGAAACCAGTTAGCTAGATTTGAGTCTTGGAGGTGGGTAGTACAATGCCTGCACTTTAAATGAGGGGTTTGGGGTATTTGCTCCTTGGAGTGGCATCTGAACTGTCATACCTGCATGCCTGTGCAAAAACAGTGATTGTGTGTTAATGATGGTGAAAGCTTTTTTCTTTTCACAGTGGGAGACAGCCAGCATGTTGAAAAAGAAAAAATGAAAGTTAAAGGGCAGGAGTATTTAGATACAAAATAGTAAAAGGTTGGGGATGGTGGATTCTGTATTTACAGACCTCTGGAACAAGGCAGTTGTGTATATTGTATAGTAAAATTATCTACAAGTAAAAAAAAAATACGAGATGGTCAGGTATTTTTGAATATACAGTGGAATCTCTGCATCCACTTGCGAGTTTTTCCAGATACGAGCAGTTGCTTGGTCGATTTTATGCTTCCAGATGCAAGCGAAATTTCCAGATATGAGCGGGCCTCAAGGGAAGTTCCTCGGCACTGCTGAGGGGCTCTTGCTATTCATCTAGGGAATTGGATCTCAGTTTTTTGTCAGACTATCTTATTGAAACTTAGATGGAAAGATGCTTCTTAGCGTACACCAAAAATGAAAGAAATCAGACCATAAATAACGGAGTTCACTTCTCAGCCATTAGCTTCCCCTTAGTGGTATATTTTTGTATGGTTTTCATGGTTGTATTCTTGTTTTTGGTCTCATTTGATAGAATAGAAGATATACTACAGAAACAGATATGATTTTGATTGGTGGCCCTATAAACCCCAACAACAACAATGGCTGCTGTCACCACCACTAACCACATGCATGTGTCTTACCTACATTATGTAACAGTTAGGTATCTTTATTTTGAAACGTTTCGCCTACACAGTAGGCTTCTTCAGTCGAGTACAGCAAAGTTGATAGAAGCAGAAGAGACTTGAAGACGATGTAATCAGTCCATATCTTTAAAGATACCTAACTGTTGCATATGTGTCTTACCTACAACCTGTCAGTATTTTATACCATTTTAGTGTTCACTCTGTCAGACACTGCAACACAAGGGTATCTTGGTACAGACTTGGAATCAACTTTAACAACCTCTACTAGTGAGAATGGCTGGATTTGAGAGGGACCTGACCTCTCAACGTCTACATTCTTACCTCTACTAGTGACCTACGTCTCACCTCCTGGCGCTATATAAGGCTCCATCCTATCACTTCCACTCCATATTATTCCAGACTATGGAACAATACTCTTCTCTAGACTGAGGGACTGACCACCTCAAAAACTTCAAGGGTGATGGACTGATTACATCGTCTTCAAGTCTCTTCTGCTTCTATCAACTTTGCTGTACTCGACTGAAGAAGCCTACTGTGTAGGCGAAATGTTTCGAAATAAAGATACCTAACTGTTGCATATGTGTCTTACCTACAACTTGTTGGTATTTTATACCATTTTATTGTTCACATACATAATGACATGTATTTTATTCATTCTAGTGTATGTATCATGTTTCTGTGTTATTAATATTACTTATTATGTCATATTACATGAATTGTGATAGATAATTATGCCATAGAGTTGATATTAGGGAAATTATTGAAGTATTTTCTCATGCCACTGGAACAAATTAATTCCATTTCAATTTAAAAGAACAAACGAGCAAATCCAGATGCGAGCAAGGTCAGGAACGGATTAAACTCTTCAGTAGAGGTTCCACTGTATATTCATTCACAAATTATAAAATTATATATTTAGAAAACTAAAATACAAAGTTTCACTTAAGCCTGCTCACTGATGGTCACGTAGATCTATGTCGGTAGGATCAGTGTTGGTCACGTAGATCACAATTCAAGGCGCCCTCAAATTTACTGTGTGTGATTTTGCTGAAAATCTCAACTCTGATGCAGACTCTGACTTTTGAAATGAAACTAAACCTACTGCCCCCAACTTTGATTTAAATTTTACTCTTGCAATAGCCCTTAACAAAACATCCCTACCCCTCCTGGCTCACTCTTAACCTTTGCACATTTCTACTTTCACACATCCCTCCCTGAAGTGCTGTAATAACCCTTATGGGTTTAGTGCTGAATATGATTATAATATACTAATAAAACATTTGCAGGGAGTCTCAAATTTTGGCCCAGACATGAAATAATGGGTATGTGTGTGTATATATATAAAAAAAATAATGCCGTATGCAGTGTATACCAGGAACAGCTAACCTCTGACCTGTTTGGATTCACTGGTGACTTGGGGTTTTCAGTATTATTAGTTGTTTCTTGGTGTCAATAGACAAACTGGAAGATATACTAGTGAAAAAGAGGAGATTCTTGGTCAGTTTCAGCCTGGAAGCGGCATGAAAAGGGCCTCAAAATGACATAAATGGTAAATTTTTGGCAAGTGTCCTGGGAAAAGTTGGTGCCCCCCTTTCCTCCCTGGTCTGTTTTATGTTTTTTTCTAGGTCTGCCTCAATTATTGGGAAGGTCTAAATCATGAACAATGAGTCTAGGTTATGGCTTATTAGCCAAGAAATGGGGAAAAATGTCAGTTTTTTGAGTGACAAACTCAAAACAGAGGGAATGAATAAAGTGCCTGAGATGGCTACATTGTTTCAAGCTCACTGATGTCTTGGCTAGAACTTTGGTGATTATAAAATCTATGCTGAGATCTATATTTTGCAGACTTTTCAAAAAATATTGTCAGCTATCTTACTTCAATTGACCCTTTGACTGTCACAAGCCCAAATCCTGAGGTGTTTCCTGGTGTCGCAAAATCTTGGAGAGAAAAAAAAAAAAAAAAAATTATGAAATGATAGAGAATATTTTCCTGATGGTAATGACACCAAAAGTATGAAATTTGATGGAAAACTTGCGGAATTATGCTCTTGTGAAGTTAGCGACCTCGGTGATATTTACAAATATGTAATTTCACTCACTTTCAGCCCTATTTTCGGCTAATTTCATTGTTCCAGTCGACCAAACTCATAACTATTTCTTTAGAACTCCATTTGTTCTATCGACTGAGTACAAGAAACTGCCTATTTACCAATTTCAACTACCCAATAAAGTGGTCAGAAATTGGCAATTTTGCCAATTTCACACAAATTAAAAAATATGCCAATTTCAAAATAGGGTCCAGAATGAACAATGCAGACATTCCTGGCTCTAAAAAAACATTTTCTTTGTTCATCAGTGATGTCTCCAGGCCCTCTGATATTACTCTTGCTTTGTATTTTGAATTTTTATTCAAACAAAAAATAGAAGATTTACCATTATGCAGACCACTGCAATATTGTAACAATTGTATAAATAATGTCAACCCATTCATGACTGCATATCTGAATGGCTAGTTGGACATTTATTGGACAATGACATCATTTGTTTACTCTTGAACATTAGCAAAAATCAAACATTTCCCCTAATTTGAGCTCCATTTCAAGGTCCTTTTCATAGAAAAACCAATCAAAATCACCTCTATTTCTATAATATGTTTTCCATTCTATCAAATGTGACTACGAAAACGAGAATATAACCATAAAAACTATATGAAAATACACCTCAAAGTTGGCGTTTTAATTGAAAAACATGGTAAGTCTTTTTTTTCTCGTGCACTGTATGCTGCAGGATTTTTTCTATATGGTGCACACTGACCACATAGACCCATTCTCTCACATCTGGGCCTACCAGCTTTCTCCTGCTTGATTTGAAGCCGCTAGAATTTTTGAGTATGTATACGTTAAACACATTGGCTCGTAAGACGTATATATATGACTGAAACAGTCAAAGGGTTAAAGAAATTTGCCTAAAAGTACAGTAGCTACTAAAACCAAGAAAAAAATACAATACAAATGACAGATTCCTTGAAAGCATGTTTAAATTGCAGATACACGTATAGTATGTAGAACAGAGTACCAACTGTGTAAGGAAAACCTAGCATATCTGATAAGTGCTAAGTCTGAACAAACGACTTACCATTGCCTTCCTCAGGTTATCGTGAACATCAGCCTGCTCATTGTATATGACATTACCAATACTAGAATCTTTACGGGGAGGTCCTCGTGGGGCAGGAATTCTGAAACATACGAACCCAAGCTGTACTCCTGAGGACATCATCCTTCAATTTATCAATTAGTCTCTTCTTGATTCCACTTGACATTTCTGACTTCAACTCTTCAATCATACTATTCATTGTAAATTAATTACTATTAACAACTGCTTGTACAGCATATACAAAATATTTTAATGCTCTCAAATATCAATATATTCATGGGGAAACGCTTGATTTTTAGGGGTCAAGCAATGCCTGAGGAATGAGATATAATATAATAAAGAACAAAAGTCACGATACTGTGGCTGGAACAATTTGACCAAAATTTACACTTCAGAGAGGAATGTTAGGATGATGTTTCAGTCCATCCTGGACCACTGTCAAATCAGCTGAGAGAGAAAGAGGCAAGGAAGGCTAGAAGACAAAATGGAGGATTGCAAGAATAGTAGTAGTAGTAGTGCTAGTGGTGGTTGTCGGCAGCAGCAATAAGAATAATTATAATAATGGTAAATCAAGTGGTAAAAGTAACTATGGAGAAAATAGCAGTTGTGAAAGAATTTGTAATATTAATATAAGTGGTAATGTAGAAGAAAATGGAGGGCTAGTAGCCCACTCCCACTGCCAAAAAATCCTAGGGACAGAGTCCACCAAGGCAGAAGACAGGCAAGGCAAAGAAAAAAATAATGCAGAAGATAAATGAAGTGGAAGGAGGCAACAGGTGTTCTGAAGTCTAGAGAATCTGACAAGGCAATGGGAAAGGCAAGTGTCTACAGAAAGGCAAGAGGGTAAAAGAAGGAACCTATAGAAAAAATCATGGGATGAAGAGGAATACTATTTTTGTAGATTTTACGAAGACCATAAAAGATAAGGTAGAGAGGGACAGATAGCACAGAAACACTGAATAAGATCAAAGTCAGAATGACAGATATTAGAGCCAAGTTTCAGGTTAATAGTTCTGTTGATGTGATCAAGAGTGACAAGTGAAGGGAGTGCAGGTGTGAGAGTCAGAGAGGAGGGATTTGACTTTTCCAAGGTAATCCTCATGATTAAGGATAACCACTGAACTGCCTTTGTCAGACGTAAAGATGATACAGTGGAACCTCAAAAATCGAACTTAATCCATTCCAGGAGCTAGTTCTAAATTCGAAAAGTCTGAAATTTGAAGCAATATTTCCCATATGAAATAATGGAAATACAATTAATCCGTTCCAGAAACCCAAAAATATTTACATAAAAAATACATTTTATAGAGATTAATTGCAGTTTTACATACAACAAATACTATAGTTTTTAATTATGTATAGTAATACATATAAAATAACATTTTTACTTACCTTTATTGAAGATTGGTGATGGCATCTGGAAGATAGGGAGGAGGAGAGAGGGAGTTGGGGTTAGTGTTTGGAAGGAGAATCCCCCTCCATTAGGACTTCAGGCAAAGCCCTCTCTGCGGTTACTTCCCTTCTCTGTCTTTTAATGCCACTAGGACCAGCTTGAGAGTCACTGGACCCCTGTCTCGCAAAATAACTGTCCACAGACCTCTGTTTCTGGCGCCTCTTTAACATTTCCCTAAAATGGGACATGGTTCTGTCACTGAACTTGTTGCAAAGATGGCTTGTTTCAGCTTGCTCAGGGTGGTACTTCTGCACAAACTTTGGAATCATTCCACTTGGCACAAATCTCCTTAATCTTTGAAGAAGGCACCTCATCCACTCCCTATATTAACACCTTTCGCAACATCAGCTTCCTTGATTTGTTCTTTCTTTGACAGGATAGAACCGATGGTCGACTTGTTTTTCCATACATCCTGGCAAGCTCAACAAGTCTCACACCACTCTCATACTTCTGTATTATTTCCTTCTTCACATCTATGGTGTTTCTCACTTTCTTTACCACAGGGGTACCACTAGCAAGTTTCTTTGGGCCCATGGCAGCTTATTTCACAGTCCCACAAGCACTAAACACAACGAAATAATCGTAAAATGTGTGAATGAGAGTGCAGGTTAGTGTTCACTCAAGCATAAACAAAGCTAGACTGCTCACGGCGCCTGCGCGGGGACGCGGACAGAGCAGGCGACAGACAGGTCCTGTACCCGGCGGTCCGAAAATAGGGGCGCGTTTGATAACAGGGACACAGTTTGGCCGAAAATATGGTCCTATTTTCGAAACATTCAATATGTGATACGTTCGATTTTTGAGGTTCCACTGTACTAGTATTGGATCTAAGAGAGGTAAGGATGTTGATAGCAATGAAGAAAGTGGTGATTCTTAGGAAAAATCTATCAAGAGCAGAAATAAATGCACCATGAATAGTAGACATGTCAGGGATACTCTGAGAGTTAGACAAGCTAAACTAGATCAATGCCAGCACATGGGGGTGAAATGGCACAGATCAAGCTGCTAGGAAAATATGACAAAGGAAAGATTAGTAACAGTGAGGAAGAATTTGAACCAGGGACTGTTAGAGATGAGCCAGTATAGTTTGTTCTGGCCTTCCCTGCCTCTTACTCTCAGTTGTGATTTGATAGTCGTCCAGGACTGACCAAAATGTCATCCAAACACTCCTTTCTAAAGTGCAGGTTTTTGGTGAAGAGATAATAAAGTTTGATACAAGAAAGGGGAAGGCAGTTGCCAATTCTTTGAATTAAGAGCTCTTCATCAACATCAAGGCACTTCCCTTGAAGGCATTGTACTCTCAAGTAATCTAGTTACACAACAATGAAATGATACAAGGTTTCATTCATGCTCACTGACCTGAATTTCCTGATCTTTCTTTTGGACATCTTTATGTTGGGTCCAGTCCAGTCTCCCCAGCCAGGAAGAGCAAGACTCACGACCTTGGGCTTGTCTCTCTCTCTGGCAGCAGCTTTCTCATAACTGTTGGTGTAAAACTATTTCACTCCAAAAAATTATAGCATATTCAAACACCTTTATTTTATTACCCCCTCCAATGTTTAACTCCTTTTTAACTTGCTTACTCTTATCTTTGTTCTTTTCACTGTATTAAAATTGAAATTACAGGAAATCCCCAACATATGAAGACATTGGGGACCTCCTGAATTGTGCATAATATTCATAATAAAAGAAGTCTTCAACTTATGAACACATTGGGCACCGTCTGTATTGTGTATGATGATGATATACACAATACAGAAGATTCTCAACATGTTTGTAAATCAAGGACTTACTGTACTGCAATTTTAATTACTGCCTTACTTTTATTAGCATTTGTTGTCCAATGCCTTTTTTTTTTTCCCCAACAAGTCAGCCGTCTCCCACCGAGGCAGGTTGACCCAAAAAGAAAGAAAATCCCCAAAAAAGAAAATACTTTTATCATCATTCAACACTTTTACCTCACTCATACATAATCACTGTTCTTGCAGAGGCACCCAGATACAACAGTTTAGAAGCATATATAAAGATACTGTATACAGTGGTCCCCCGCTTTTCGTAGTTCCTGGCAATCGTAAAATTCGCCAATCATAGAGGTATTTTCGTATAAACATGGACTCGCTTTTCATAGGTTGACTCACGAGTCGTAGTTCGTCCGGGACGCGTACCCACGGCGTGAGCCAGGGCGGCAGCCAGTCTGGCATTGTTTACCAGTGAGCGAAGGTCCCCTCACGTGCTCCAGTGAAATATTTCATAATATTCCATTTATTTTAGTGCTTGAAAGTACTAAATAAGCTACCATGGCTCCAAAGAAAGCTCCTAGTGCCAAGCCTGTGGTAAAGAAGGTGAAAAATACGACTGAATTTAAGAAAACCATCATTGAACAATATGAAAGTGGTACAAGTGTGGCCGAACTGTCCTGGATGTATAAGAAACCCTACACAACCTTATGTTCCATAGTGGCCAAGAAAAATGAAATAAAGGATGCTGTTGTTGCAAAGGGAGTAACTATGCTGACAAAAATGAGATCACCAGTACTGGAAGAGGTTGAGAAGTTATTATTGGTGTAGATAAATGAGAAACAATTAGCAGGAGATACTCTTATGACTTCATTTATTTGTGAAAAGGCTAGGCAGTTGCATGAAGATTTGGTAAAGAAATTGCCTGCAAATAGTGGTGAAGTGAGTGAATTTAAGGCCAGCAAAGGCTGGTTTGAGAGATTTAAGAACCGTACTGGCATACACAGTGTGGTAAGGCATGGTGAGGCTGCCAGTTCGGACCACAAGGCGGCTGAAAAATATGTGCATGAATTCCAGGAGTACATAGAGGCTGAAGGACTGAAACCTGAACAAGTGTTCAGTTGTGACGAAACAGGCCTCTTTTGGAAGAAAATACCAAAGAGGACCTTCATTACACAAGAGGAAAAGTCAATGCCAGGACACAAGCCTATGAAAGACAGGCTGATGCTAATGTTCTGTGCTAATGCTAGTGGGGATTTCAAAGTGAAGCCATTACTAGTGTACCATTCTGAAAATCCCAGAGTGTTCAGGAAAAACAATGTTATGAAGAGTAAATTGTGTGTGTTTTGGAAATCTAATAGTAAGGCATGGGTCACGAGGGAAATTTTCGTCGAGTGGTTCAATGAAGTGTTTGGCCCTAGTGTGAAGGAGTATCTCCTGGAAAAGAAATTGGATCTCAAGTGCCTGCTAGTAATGGACAATGCACCTGCTCATCCTCCATACTTGGATGACCTAATTTTCGAGGAGTTTGGGTTCATCACAGTAAAGTTCTTGCCCCCGAATACCACTCCTGTCCTCCAACCCATGGACCAGCAGGTTATTGCAAACTTTAAAAATCTCTACACAAAAGCAGTGTTTCACAGGTGCTTGACTGTGACCACAGACACTCACTTGACCCTAAGGGAATTTTGGAGAGAACACTTCAGCATCCTCCACTGCATAACCCTTATAGGTATGGCTAGGGAGGGAGTGACTACCAGGACTTTGAACTCTGCCTGGAGAAAATTGTGGCCAGATTGTGTCGACAAGAGGGATTTTGAAGAATTTGGGACTGACCCTAATGAGTCTATGTCTGTTGTAAAATCAATTGTGGCACTGGGGAGTTCCATGGGGTTGGATGTGAGTTTGGAGGATGTGGAAGAATTGGTGGAAGACCACAATGAAGAGCTCACCACTGAGGAGCTGCAAGAGCTTCAGCAGGAAGAGCAACACATCGCAGCTCAGAATCTTGCTGCAGAGGAGGAGGAAGAGAGATGGAAGAAGGTGCCTTCTTCAGAAATTAAAGAGATTTTTACTATGTGGGGTAAGATGGAAAGCTTTATGGAGAAACATCACCCTAACAAGGTTGTTGCAAGCCAGGTTGGCAACATGAACAGTGACAAAGTCTTGGGCCATTTTAGGGAAGTGTTAAAGAGACGCCAGAAACAGAGCTCTCTCCACAGTCATTTTGTGAGACAGGACTCCAGTGACTCTCAAGGTGGTCCTAGTGGCATTAAGAAACAGAGAAGAGAAGCAACCCCAGAAAGCAAATGGTACCTGAGGTGTTGATGGAAGGGGATTCCCCTTCCAAACTATAAACAATCCACTCTCTCTCCTCCTCCAGTCTCCCATACACTAAGAAGACTCTCCAATAAAGGTAAGTGTTATGCTGTTAATGTTTCATTCATCATTTCCCATTGTATTGTTTATGTACTACATGCATATTTCATGTTAAAAATTTTTTTGCTTTAATACTTCTGGGTGTCAGGAACGGATTAATTGTATTTACATTATTTCTTATGGGGGAAATTGATTCTTAAATCGTAGATTTCATTTATAGTAACGGCTCCAGGAACGGATTAATTACGAACAACGAGGGACCACTGTATAACATATCCCTCCAAACTGCCAATATCCCAAACCCCTCCTTTAAAGTGCAGGCATTATACTTTCCATTTCCAGTACTCAAGTCCAGCTATATAAAAATAACCGGTTTCCCTGAATTTTTTTTTTTTTTCCAACAAGTCGGCCGTCTCCCACCGAGGCAGGGTGACCCAAAAAAGAAAGAAAATCCCCAAAAAGAAAATACTTTCATCATCATTCAACACTTTCACCACATTCACACATTATCACTGTTTTTGCAGAGGTGTTCAGAATACAACAGTTTAGAAGCATATACGTATAAAGATACACAACATATCCCTCCAAACTGCCAATATCCCAAACCCCTCCTTTAAAGTGCAGTCATTGTACTTCCCACTAAATATTACCCTGCTCACACTCTAACAGCTCGTCAGGTTCCAAAAACCATTCGTCTTCATTCACTCATATCTAACATGCTCATGCACGCTTGCTGGAAGTCCAGGCCCCTCACCCACAAAACCTCCTTTACCCACTCCCTCAAACCTTTTCGAGGATGACCCCTACCCCGCCTTCCTTTCCCTACAGATTTATACACTCTCTATATCATTCTACTTTGACCCATTCTCTAAATAACCAAACCACCTCAACAACCCTTCTTCAGCCCTCTCATACTTTTATTATTGCCACACCTTCTCCTAATTTCCACACTGAATTTTCTGCATAATATTTACACCACACACTGCCCTTAGACAGGACATCTCCACTGCCTCCAACCGCCCCCCCGTTGCAGCATTTACCACCCAAGCTTCACACCCATATAAAAGAGTTGGTACCACTATACTTTTATACATTCCCTTCTTTGCCTCCATAGATAACATTTTTGTATACCCAATACCTTGTTACCTCTACCAAATCCTCAGGAAGTTTTGCATAAAGAAATTCATTAATTTTATTTTCCATAATCTGAGAGATGATTTTTCAGGACATTTTAGAAATATGGTATATGATGGAAGAATTCCACATCTTCCAAGCAGAAATGACAAAATACTTGCAGTTTATCCTTCTATAATACAGTACTGCATAACCCACAGCCTACATATTATTATATTCGCTGGGAAGCACTAAACTTGTAAGGGTTCTATAGCACCTGAGAAATGGGAAGTTCAATACTTGAATCAAGTTTTATGCAAGGAAAGAGTAGCACCAATTCCTTGCACTAAGAGCCCTTCAGTATTAAACCATTCATGTGTAAAGCTTTAGTAGATATACAGCTGTGGTACAATGCATAATTACACAAATACCATTAAATATTGAAATTCATGTACAATATTAATTAAACAATTTGAAACTAGCATCTACATTACAAAGTGTGGAAAGCTCACCTAAATTCCTCAATGAGATAATCATCAGCAAATGCTTCACGAATAATATTCTCAGCATCCTCATCTTCATCATTTTCATCATCATCCAACCCTTCCCCACTTCGTCCCACATTGTCTGGCATGGCTGTGGCCAACTTCCTAGTTGGTACCTAAATGATTTAATCAATGAACATGCATAAACATTTAACCATGTGCTATTTGTATATTTTACCAAATGGGAAAAAATATATAAAGAAAGTGAGTGGGATGAGTATAAAATGAAATATGGCAAGCATAAAATTCTGTATTTTATCAGATGATTAATTTCTCATAACATACCTGGAGAAACTTTGTTGGATCTACTTCCACTTTCTTACTTTTACTTGAATTAGTCTCGTTGGTCATGTTCCCTGACCCTGTTATTGCATTTCCTTTCTTCAGGATGTCAGTAGCTTGTTTAATCTTATCAGTACTTTTTTCTTGTATGGAGTCCATGTCTTCTAATGTTCTGACTCTTTTCAAGCTTTCATCAATGTTGTCTTTATCATTCTTACTTGAAAAATCAAACTCTTCTATAGTGACGGATTCAACTTTAGTCACACATTTGGCCTTCTTTCTTCTCTTTACCTTTGTCCAGGCTTTACCACTCTCTATGCCTATACCAAGTTTTTCAAGCTTTCTCTTTACCTTTTTCTTAATCCCTATTTCTGCTTCATCAAACATCTCATCAATACTAATTAATTCATTGCTTTTATTTTCTTCGTTCTCTTTTTCTGAAGCAATTTTATTTTTATTTTCTTCACTGATGGAAGTCTTGTTTCCATCCTTGTTTACTTTTCTAGATACATCCAATTCAACTATTTGTTTTCCCACATAACCATTAGTTTCCTCTTCCTCATCATTGTTATCTTCTGATGCTGTTTCTTCTTCTGTTTTTTCTTTCTCTTGCTCCTCCTCATCAATTTCTTCTGCATCTATTACCTTATCCTCTTCCTCCTTTTTAGCCATCTCCTCCTGAATTTTTTTCTCTACCAGTTTTCGGCTATTTACTTCTTCCCAAAACTTTTTAAACTGGGTAAAACTTTCATCTTCACTTTGGGGAATTTGAGATGTAGCTTTGTTGAGATTATTAGTCCATGGGTTCATAGGGTCATATGTTCCTTCCTCCATAGCTTTTTCTCTTTCCTGAAAAAAAGTAAAACCAGGTGTATTGAAACCAGGTGCAGAGAATATTTGATGATCTGCTACAAATCTGAAAAAAATGTACTGAGGACACAATAGTAATTTTTCAAGGCCCTATTTTAAGCAATACTGATTATTTGTTAATAATAATCACTAAAAAAAAAGTCACTAAATCTTTTCACTACATAATAAATCACAAATAGTATTTTGAACTGAACCTCAAGGGGCATGGGTACGGAAAACTATGTTGAAAAAGTCACTAAGTGAAAAAAATCCACTTGCTGTAACTTTTTTGATTATCATGGCCTAGGTACAGATATATCCTGTCAGGGACAAGAAACCCTGTAGTTTGTCAAGGTCCATTTAACCATGAATGAAAATGTGTTCACATGACCACACTCAAAGGGCCAGTGGTGGTAGTAAAGACTACCAATTTTGCTGAAAGTTTCCTGCTTCACTGTAATGTTACAAGTTAATCCTAATTTACCTTTAATGCTGCTTCTATTTCATTTGAATCCTCATCTTCGTCCTCAGCACGAGTGCCAACTTTTGTTATTAACTCACGGTGCATCCGCTGGTTTTCCTTCAAAGCAGCCATTGCCTAAAGAAAAAACAGGATCATCAACACATAAATTTATTGCCAATGTCATGAGGAAAAAAATGAACATCTTTGGTCATGGTAAAAAAATTATTATAGGGTACAAAAAATCAAAATAGTTGAACAATAAATAAAACAATGTAAAAAAAGTCTGCTCTAAAATTATTTATACACTAATAGTATCATAAGAAATTAATACGTATACTATAATATCACAAAATCTTATAATTCTCACATTTTCATCTTTATTAGCACGAAAGCCCTGGAGATGTGCCCATTTGGATGTCTTGTGACGAAGGCTCATCCTTTCCTCCACTCGAGCCCGTTCAAGCTCTTCCAGCTTCTCTAGAGCTGCCTCTGGGTCTGTCTTCTGAAGCTGCTCAAGTTCCAGCTTTTGCTTCCTTAGCCTTTCACGTCTCAGTAAACGATGATGTCTTAAAAACGTGAAAATTTAAGAAACGTAAATTATTTTATAAACAAGTTTTATATAGTTTTTGAAGTAACAGAATTCCCTTTCTAAAAGATGTCTAGTGATAATCTCTAGGGCAAAGGGATTTCAAGGTTATCATTGTTGTTAGGTAAGACACATATGCAACAGTTAGGTATCTTTATTTCGAAACGTTTTTCCTACACAGTAGGCTTCTTCAGTCGAGTACAGAAAAGTTGACAGAAGCATTAGATACTTGAAGACGATGTAATCAGTCCATCACCCTTGAAGTTTTGAGGTGGTCAGTCCCTCAGTCTGGAGAAGAGTATTGTTCCATTCGCCTACACAGTAGGCGAAACGTTTCGAAATAAAGATACCTAACTGTTGGATATGTGTCTTACCTAACAACCTATCGGTATTTTATACCATTTGAATGTTCACAAGGTTATCATTGCCAGGATATACTACACAAGAATATACATGACTGAAAGAAACAAAATTATACATTCATTCATATGACTGAGACATCCACACAGCCCCAAACCAATTTGAACCTTGCACTAAGCATGATACACCAGCTTTGAAAATTTAAAGCCAATCAAAAGAAGGGGTTTCTAGTTATTGTACAGAGAACAAATCCAAATATCTCAAATTACTGAGAGTGAAAGTTTGAAGCTGATCAGATGAAGCATTCACAAATTATCATATGAAAACCAGTACAATGTTTCAATTTTCCCAATTTCTTCAACCAAAACTAATAAATTGGCATTTACATAAACCAAAAATCACTAAAAACATTTTTCCAACATACACCAGCATTTATGGTTTGAAGCCAAGCAGGAGAGATACATTCCAGTTACTGCACAAAAACCAATCTGGTTAATAAAATTGACAAATGAAAACTTACACAGCAAAAAATCAATGCAAAGCTGAGAAAAACATCAGCACTAGAAATTTAATGTTGACTAGGAGAGACATTCTCCAGTTATCATACAGGATCCAATAATTCCCAGTTTATTAACAATGTTAGTAAATTGGCAACTTAGCACCTACACACCCTAAGCCTAAACAGTATCATCCTATATTATGTAAGACTGTATTAGTCATTACAGACTGAAGCCATTCAAAAGAGATATATTTAAGTTATTTCATGGAAATGTGATATTTAAGGGCTCAATAAACTCATGAAACTTATCAACATTATAAAAATGAGTTTTCAGCATATCTTGGTTTTCTTTTCTCGGCTATATTCTACTTCAAATTCTCCACAATCTTACTGAAAAAATAACTGATTCTGGTTTATTACCTCCTCTGCACTACTAGATAAGGACAACTCATGGAAGTTTAAGTAAAATTTTCCAAGTTGGCACCTACACAGTCTAATAACAATGCAAAGCTTCCTCTAAGCTGGATACATAGTGTTAATGGTCTGAAGACTATCAGTTGAGGCACTCATAAATTATTGCACCAAAATTAACATTTCAATTTTCACAATTTCTTTAATAAAATGGACAAATTGGCAACTACCAAGCCCAAGATCAATTTAAAAAAATTCTCTGATATACCTGTACCAGCGTTAGGGTTTGAAGTCAATTGGAAGAGGTGATCTCCATTTATGTATTTACACAGACCAAAATCAATGTAAACCTTTCTTTGATTAAAGTCCATCATTACTGATCAGAAGAGGCTTTTTCAAGTTATGTGAAAACCAGTATCAGAAATGGTCTCTATAAAACTGACCAGAGGACACCTGCACATGCCAATAGTTATATGAGCTTTTTCCTAGTTACTGTACACCAGTGTTGAAAATCTGAAATTGATGTGATGAAATGTTCTCAAGTTATAAACAAAAACCTTCAAAGAAGAGAAAAAATCAGGCAATCACTTGAAGGTACCTCTTCAGGGACACTTAATGAGAGATACTGTATGAATATTATAAGCACAAAGAAATGCCTATACCTGGAGACCTGGAGTTTACCTGGAGAGAGTTCCGGAGGTCAACGCCCCCGCGGCCCGGTCTGTGACCAGGCCTCCTGGTGGATCCGAGCCTGATCAACCAGGCTGTTACTGTTGGCTGCATGCAAACCAACGTACGAGCCACAGCCCGGCTGGTCAGGAACCGACTTTAGGTGCTTGTCCAGTGCCAGCTTGAAGACTGCCAGGGATCTGTTGGTAATCCCCCTTATGCATGCTGGTAGGCAGTTGAACAGTCTCAGGCCCCTGACACTTATTGTATGGTCTCTTAACGTGCTAGTGACACCCCTGCTTTTCATTGGGGGGATGTTGCATCGTCTGCCAAGTCTTTTGCTTTCGTAGTGAGTGATTTTCGTGTGCAAGTTCGGTACTAGTCCCTCTAGGATTTTCCAGGTGTATATAATCATGTATCTCTCCTGCCTGCGTTCCAGGGAATACAGGTTCAGGAACCTCAAGCGCTCCCAGTAATTGAGGTGTTTTATCTCCGTTATGCGCGCCGTGAAGGTTCTCTGTACATTTTCTAGGTCAGCAATTTCACCTGCCTTGAAAGGTGCTGTTAGTGTGCAGCAATATTCCAGCCTAGATAGAACAAGTGACCTGAAGAGTGTCATCATGGGCTTGGCATCCCTAGTTTTGAAGGTTCTCATTATCCATCCTGTCATTTTTCTAGCAGATGTGATTGGTACAATGTTATGGTCCTTGAAGGTGAGATCCTCCAACATGATCACTCCCAGGTCTTTGACGTTGGTGTTTCGCTCTATTTTGTGGCCAGAATTTGTTTTGTACTCTGATGACGATTTAATTTCCTCGTGTTTGCCATATTTGAGTAATTGAAATTTCTCATCGTTAAACTTCATATTGTTTTCTGCAGCCCACTGAAAGATTTGGTTGATGTCCGCCTGGAGCCTTGCAGTGTCTGCAATGGAAGACACTGTCATGCAGATTCGGGTGTCATCTGCAAAGGAAGACTCGGTGCTGTGGCTGACATCCTTGTCTATGTCAGATATGAGGATGAGGAACAAGATGGGAGCAAGTACTGTGCCTTGTGGAACAGAGCTTTTCACCGTAGCTGCCTCGGACTTTACTCTGTTGACTACTACTCTCTGTGTTCTGTTAGTGAGGAAATTATAGATCCATCGACCGACTTTTCCCGTTATTCCTTTAGCACGCATTTTGTGCGCTAATACGCCATGGTCACACTTGTCGAAGGCTTTTGCAAAGTCTGTATATATTACATCTGCATTCTTTTTGTCTTCTAGTGCATCTAGGACCTTGTCGTAGTGATCCAATAGTTGAGACAGACAGGAGCGACCTGTTCTAAACCCATGTTGCCCTGGGTTGTGTAATTGATGGGTTTCTAGATGGGTGGTGATCTTGCTTCTTAGGACCCTTTCAAAGATTTTTATGATATGGGATGTTAGTGCTATCGGTCTGTAGTTCTTTGCTGTTGCTTTACTGCCCCCTTTGTGGAGTGGGGCTATGTCTGTTGTTTTTAGTAACTGTGGGACGACCCCCGTGTCCATGCTCCCTCTCCATAGGATGGTAAAAGCTCGTGATAGGGGCTTCTTGCAGTTCTTGATGAACACAGAGTTCCATGAGTCTGGCCCTGGGGCAGAGTGCATGGGCATGTCATTTATCGCCTGTTCGAAGTCATTTGGCATCAGGATAACATCAGATAGGCTTGTGTTTACCAAATTCTGTGGCTCTCTCATAAAAAGTTAATTTTGATCTTCGACTCTCAGTCTGGTCAGCGGCTTGCTAAAAACTGAGTCATATTGGGACTTGAGTAGCTCACTCATTTCCTTGCTGTCATCTGTGTAGGACCCATCTTGTTTAAGTAGGGGTCCAATACTGGACATTGTTCTCGACTTTGATTTGGCATAGGAGAAGAAATATTTTGGGTTTCTTTTGATTTCATTTATGGCTTTTAGTTCTTCCCGCGATTCCTGACTCCTATAAGATTCCTTTAGCTTAAGTTCGATGCTTGCTATTTCTCTGACCAGTGTCTCCCTACGCCTTTCAGATATATTGACCTCTTTTAGCCGCTCTGTTATTCTTTTCCGTCGCCTGTAAAGGGAGCACCTGTCCCTTTCTATTTTACATCTACTCCTCCTTTTTCTTAGAGGAATAAGCCTTGTGCATACATCGAGCGCCACCGAGTTAATCTGTTCTAGGCATAAGTTGGGGTCTGTGTTGCTTAGTATATCTTCCCAGCTTATATCAGTTAGGATTTGGTTTACTTGGTCCCACTTTATGTTTTTGTTATTGAAGTTGAATTTGGTGAATGCTCCCTTGTGACTAATCTCATTATGTCGGTCTGGGGCTCCACGCATACATGTCTGAACCTCAATTATGTTGTGATCTGAGTATATTGTTTTTGATATGGTGACATTTCGTATCAGATCATCATTGTTAGTGAAGATGAGGTCTAGTGTATTCTCCAGTCTAGTAGGCTCTATTACAGTGGACCCCCGGTTAACGATATTTTTTCACTCCAGAAGTATGTTCAGGTGCCAGTACTGACCGAATTTGTTCCCATAAGAAATATTGTGAAGTAGATTAGTCCATTTCAGACCCCCAAACATACACGTACAAACGCACTTACATAAATACACTTACATAATTGGTCGCATTCGGAGGTAATCGTTATGCGGGGGTCCACTGTATTTGCTGGTTTAAATTGAATTTTGTGCAGAGATTTAAAAGCTCGTGTGAGTGTGAGTTTTCATCAGAGCTGCCTCCTGGTGTTATTACTGCAACAATATTATTTGCTATATTCCTCCATTTTAGGTGCCTTAAGTTGAAATCCCCCAGGAGCAAGATGTTGGGTGCAGGGAATATATATTCCCTGAAATGAGTACTAGCAACTCCATAACCTTAATAATAATTTGAGCTGTACAGTGAATAAAATTCTGCATACAAACATAATGACTTCTAGGTTTCTAAAATTGGTGGAGAGAATATCAAACTTAGGTAAGAAAGCTTTATGCAAAATATATCATAAAAAAAAATCTCAATATTGTATTAAGAATAAACAGCCATATGAGATTTAATGAGGGAACTCTTCATGAAAAAAAAAACATTGAAATTAAAAAAGTGATTATATTCACACACTTCCTGCTTTTGCTCTTGTTCTGCAACATAGCTTTTTTTTCATATCGGCGCTTCATCTCTCTCTGTCGCCACATTTCACGATTTCTTTCCTGGATTTCCTGTATGGACATGGCACGTTTTCTTGCTCGTTCCTCCTCTGTTTCCTGCAACATTAACAAAATATGAAAATCATAACATGCATCAAACACATCCAAATAATGAACACATTAAGGTTTTATGGATTTGTCAGTTAAAAACAGAGTAGGAGAGTTAGTAGATGGGGAGAGGGAGGTATTAGGTAGATGGCGAGAATATTTTGAGGAACTTAAATGTTGAGGAAGAAAGGGAGGCGGTAATTTCATGCACTGGCCAGGGAGGTATACCATCTTTTAGGAGCGAAGAAGAGCAGAATGTAAGTGTGGTGGAGTATTACAAAAAAAGTAATTTTTAAGATGGTAGTTTACTCATTTTGTAATAATGAGTTCGGGATACATAAATACACGTTAAAATAAATGAATCATTAATATTATATAAAAAACAATCTTTGGTCTAGAGGTATTTTGTAAATAAACATCTGATAATATACACATGTTACAATAATAAATTATTAGCATTTTAAAATAATAAATAATAATTCGTAACCCTACACACAGGGTACCACTTTTCAGACACTACTGTGTCACTATATATATCTATGCTAAAATAATAAATTATAAATAACATTTGTACAATAATAAATTACAGTCAACTCCGTGTCTCACAACACCTTAATGATGCTCTGTGTCTCACACGACACTTATATCCGAGTTGTGACGCTCCCTGTGTCACACGACACTTATCCGTGTAATGACGCTCCATCTCAACTGTGTCCCTTGACACCCTTTTCTCTGTGTCACATGACACTCCAGCTCTCCGTGTCACACGACACCCTTTTCTCTGCGTAATGACGCTCCATCTCAACCGTGTCCCTTGACACCCTTTTCTCTGCGTAATGACGCTCCTACTCTCCGTTTCACACGACACCCTTTTCTCTGCGTCATACACTTCCTCAACTGTGTCACCCTTGACACCCTGCGACACACTCACACAGCGTCTTTCTCGAGGCCAGTCACATGACACTATTCAATGTACACTACAACCGTAACTTCTTTAGTGTCACATGACACCCTTTTCTTCTCAGTGTTCCACTACGGTCCTATAGCATATCTCAGTGTTACACTCCATTATACAGTGGACCCCCGCATAACGATATTAATCCGTTCCTGAGGGCTCATTGTTATGCAAAATTATCGTTATGCGAATGAATTTTCCCCATAAGAAATAATGGAAATCAAATTAATCCGTGCAAGACACCCCAAAGTATGAAAAAAAAATTTTACCACATGAAATATTAATTTTAATACACACAAACTGAAAAAGACATGCACAGTTACATGACACTTACCTTTATTGAAGATCTGGTGATGATTGATGGGATGGGAGGAGGAGAGAGTCTTAGTGTTTAGAAGGGGAATCCCCTTCCATTAAGACTTGAGGTGTCAAGTCCTTTTCCGGGGTTACTTCCCTTCTTCTTTTAATGCCACTAGGACCAGCTTCAGAGTCACTGGACTTCTATCGCACAACATATCTGTCCATAGAGGCCTGTACCTCCCGTTCCTTTATGACTTTCCTAAAGTGGTTCACAACATTGTCAGTGTAATAGTCACCAGCACGGCTTGCAATAGCTGTGTTAGGGTGATTGTCATCAAAAAAGGTTTGCACTTTAAGCCACATTGCACCCATTTCCTTAATCTTTGAAGTAGGCAACTTCTTCAATTTCTCTCTCCCCTCCTCTGAAGCAGTTTCCTCAGGTGTGGCCTAATGCTGATGAAGATGATCTAGCAGCTCATCAGTGGTTAGCTCTTCATTGTCCTCCTCCACCAACTCTTCCACATCATCCCCACTAACCTCCAACCCCAAGGACTTTCCCAATGCCACAATGGATTCCTCAAATGGCATAGGATTCCCAGGGTTAGCCTCAAACCCTTCAAAATCCCTTTGGTCTACACATTCTGGCCACAGTTTCTTCCAAGCAGAGTTCAAGGTCCTCTTAGTCACTCCCTCCCAAGCCTTACCTATAAGGTTTACACAATTGAGGATATTAAAGTGCTCTCTCCAAAACTCTCTTAGAGTCAATTGAGTTTCTGAGGTCACTACAAAGCACCTTTCAAACAGAGCTTTTGTGTACAGTTTTTTGAAGTTTGCAATAACCTGCTGGTCCATGGGCTGCAGGAGAGGAGTGGTATTAGGAGGCAAAAACTTCACCTTAAAGCATTGGAACACATGAGAAGAGTAAGCCTGTCTTTCATAGGCTTATGTCCTGGGAGTGCCTTTTCCTCCTGAGTAATGTAGGTCCTGCTTGGCATTTTCTTCCAAAACAGGCCTGTTTCATCACAATTAAACACTTGTTCAGGTTTCAGTCCTTCACTGTCTATGTACTCCTTGAATTCCTGCACATATTTTTCAGCTGCTTTGTGGTCCGAACTGGCAGCCTCACCATGCCTTATCACACTATGTATGCCACTACGCTTCTTAAATCTCTCAAACCAACCTTTGCTGGCCTTAAATTCACTCACATCATCACTAGTTGCAGGCATTTTTTTAATTAAATCCTCATGCAACTTCCTAGCCTTTTCATTTATGATCACTTGAGAGATGCTATCTCCTGCTATCTGTTTTTCATTTATCCACACCAATAAGAGTCTCTCAGCATCTTCTATCACTTGCAATCTCTGTTTCGAAAACACAGTTGAACCTTTGGCAAGAACAGCTTCCTTGACTGCCGTTTTCTTGGACACAATAGTAGCGATGGTTGATTGGGGTTTACTATACAACCTGGCCAGCTCGGAGACACGCACTCCACTTTCATACTTAGCAATGATCTCTTTCTTCATCTCTATAGTAATTCTCACCCTTATTCCTGTAGGGTTGGCACTAGAAGCTTTCTTGGGGCCCATGGTCACTTATTTTGCAGATAAAATCACCAAAAACACTGTAATAATACGAAATGTTCCGATTGTATGCTTGGATGTTACCACGGAGGCTGGTTGGTAAACAATGCCACCGGCGGAACATGTGAGGCTGGCTCAGGCCGCACATTAGACGAGTCTCAGACGAATAGCGTTGAGCGGGTTTTTTAACGGTATGCGAGGCAAAATCTTAGCGATAAAATGTATCGGTATGCGGATTTAACGTTATGTGATGCCAACGGTATGCGGGGGTCCACTGTACTTCCTTAAGTGTCACACTACGGTCCTAACCCAGTTCAGTGTCACACTCCAACCTTTTCTTCACGTAGTGTCCCATTAAAACAGCATCCGATGACTCAGCCCACAGTTGACCAGCGTAGGCGATGAGTCCGCAGACATCACCTGGTAATCCTATAAATACTCTCTAGGGCTGGCAGAAGCACACCGTAAGATGGTCTGGCGAGTACTATCTACCGCCTTCAAGACCAGTTGACACACCGCAAGGTGGTCCGGTGCAGAACACACTATGTTGCAAGCTCACTGAATGCGACCGTCAAATAACTGAGGCCAACAGACTCAGTGAGCTGCGGTGAGCGCTTCTTCTAAAGCTAGTAGATATATATATAATAAGACGGTCAGACGAATACTCTACTGCCAGTAGATATCTACCGTAAGGTGTTCTGGTAAATACTGCTTAGATGCGTACCGTGAGGTGTTCTGGTACTTACTGCTGCTAAGGCCAGCTCAGCAGTCCCCACATTGGGTTTGATGACGTACCCAGTGGTACTGCCGGCCGGCAGGTTAACCATTTAACCGCTAGTTTGGTAGGGGGCCGTCACAGGGAGGTATGTGAGGCATTACATAGAATGAAAGGGGGTAAAGCAGCTGGAACTGATGGGATCATGACAGCAATGTTAAAAGCAGGGGAGAATATAGTGTTAGAGTGGTTGGTACTTTTGTTGAATAAATGTGTGAAAGAGGGAGAGGTACCTAGGGATTGGTGGAGAGCATGTATAGTCCCTTTATGTAAAGGGAAGGGGGACAAAAGAGATTGTAAAAATTATAGAGGAATAAGTTTACTGAGTATACAAGGAAAAGTGTACGGTAGGGTCGTTATTGAAAGAATTAGAGGAAGACAGAATGTAGGATTGCGGATGAGCAAGGAGGTTTCAGAGTGGGTAGGGGATGTGTAGATCAAGTGTTTACATTGAAGCATATATGTGAACAGTATTTAGATAAAGGTAGGGAAGTTTTTATTGCATTTATGGATTTAGAAAAGGCATATGATAGAGTGGATAGAAGAGCAATGAAGCAGATGTTGCAAGTATACAGAATAGGTGGTAAGTTACTAAATGCTGTAAAGAGTTTTTATGAGGATAGTGAGGCTCAGGTTAGGGTGTGTAGAAGAGAGGGAGACTACTTCCTGGTAAAAGTAAGTCTTAGACAGGGATCTGTAATGTCACCATGGTTGTTTAATATATTTATAGATGGGGTTGTAAAAGAAGTAAATGCTAGGGTGTTCGGGAGAGGGGAGGGATTAGATTATGGGGAATCAAATACAAAATGAGAATTGACATAGTTACTTTTTGCTGATGATACTGTGCTTATGGGAGATTCTAAACAAAAATTGATAAGGTTAGTGGATGAGTTTGGGAGTGTGTGTAAAGGTAGAAAGTTGAAAGTGAACATAGAAAAGAGTGAGGTGATGAGGGTATCAAATGATTTAGATAAAGAAAAATTGGATATCAAATTGGGGAGGAGGAGTATGGAAGAAGTGAATGTTTTCAGATACTTGGGAGTTGACGTGTCGGCGGATGGATTTATGAAGGATGAGGTTAATCATAGAATTGATGAGGGAAAAAAGGTGAGTGGTGCGTTGAGGTATATGTGGAGTCAAAAAACGTTATCTATGGAGGCAAAGAAGGGAATGTATGAAAGTATAGTAGTATCAACACTCTTATATGGGCGTGAAGCTTGGGTTGTGAATGCAGCAGCGAGGAGGCGGTTGGAGGCAGTGGAGATGTCCTGTCTAAGGGCAATGTGTGGTGTAAATATTATGCAGAAAATTCAAGTGTGGAAATTAGGAGAAGGTGTGGAGTTAATAAAAATATTAGTCAGAGGGCTGAAGAGGGGTTGTTGAGGTGGTTTGGTCATTTAGAGAGAATGGATCAAAGTAGAATGACATGAAGAGCATTTAAATCTGTAGGAGAAGGAAGGCGGGGTATGGGTCGTCCTCGAAAAGGTTGGAAGGAAGGGGTAAGGGAGGTTTTATGGGTGAGAGGCTTGGACTTCCAGCAGGCGTGCATGAGCGTGTTCGATAAGAGTGAATGGAGACGAATGGTATTTGGGACCTGACGATCTGTTGGTGTATGAGCAGGGTAATATTTAGTGAAGGGATTCAGGGAAACCGGTTATTTTTATATAGCCGGACTTGAGTCCTGGAAATGGGAAGTACAATGCCTGCACTCTAAAGGAGGGATTCGGGATATTAGCAGTTTGGAGGGATATGTTGTGTATCTTTATACGTATATGCTTCTAAACTGTTGTGCTCTGAGCACCTCTGCAAAAACAGTGATTATGTGTGAGTGAGATGAAAGTGTTGAATGATGATGAAAGTATTTTCTTTTTGGGGATTTTCTTTCTTTTTGGGTCACCCTGCCTCGGTGGGAGACAGCCAACTTGTTGGAAAAAAAAAAAAACTAAGGTTTTAACATTCCTTATTTGATTTTCAATACTGTACTGTACATTTATACTGGCTAATTACTGATTGGTAATTTAAATGGTGTAGCAACATATGATTTTGCAAAAATTTATTTTTATTGTTAGTAGTCAATTTATATGTACAAATGTTTATCATCCCCCTAATTTTTTTCATTTTTTTTATTATCACACCGGCCGATTCTCACCAAGGCAGGGTGGCCCGAAAAAGAAAAACTTTCACCATCATTCACTCCATCACTGTCTTGCCAGAAGGGTCCTTTACACTTCAGTTTTTAAACTGCAACATTAACACCCCTCCTTCAGAGTGCAGGCACTGTACTTCCCATCTCCAGGACTCAAGTCCGGCCTGCCGGTTTCCCTGAACCCCTTCATAAATGTTACTTTGCTCACACTCCAACAGCACGTCAAGTATTAAAAACCATTTGTCTCCATTCACTCCTATCAAACATGCTCACGCATGCCTGCTGGAAGTCCAAGCCCCTCGCACACAAAACCTCCTTTACCCCCTCCCTCCAACCTTTCCTAGGCCGACCCCTACCCCGCCTTCCTTCCACTACAGACTGATACATTCTTGAAGTTATTCTGTTTCGCTCCATTCTCTCCACATGTCCGAACCACCTCAACAACCCTTCCTCAGCCCTCTGGACAACAGTTTTGGTAATCCCGCACCTCCTCCTAACTTCCAAACTACGAATTCTCTGCATTATATTCACACCACACATTGCTCTCAGACATGACATCTCCACTGCCTCCAGCCTTCTTCTCGCTGCAACATTCATCACCCATGCTTCACACCCATATAAGAGCGTTGGTAAAACTATACTCTCATACATTCCTCTCTTTGCCTCCAAGGACAAAGCTCTTTGTCTCCACAGACTCCTAAGTGCACCACTCACCCTTTTCCCCTCATCAATTCTATGATTCACCTCATCTTTCATAGACCCATCCGCTGACACGTCCACTCCCAGATATCTGAATACATTCACCTCCTCCATACTCTCTCCCTCCAATCTGATATCCAATCTTTCATCACCTAATCTTTTTGTTATCCTCATAACCTTACTCTTTCCTGTATTCGCTTTTAATTTTCTTCTTTTGCACACCCTACCAAATTCATCCACCAATCTCTGCAACTTCTCTTCAGAATCTCCCAAGAGCACAGTGTCATCAGCAAAGAGCAACTGTGACAACTCCCACTTTATGTGTGATTCTTTATCTTTTAACTCCACGCCTCTTGCCAAGACCCTCGCATTTACTTCTCTTACAACCCCATCTATAAATATATTAAACAACCACGGTGACATCACACATCCTTGTCTAAGGCCTACTTTTACTGGGAAATAATTTCCCTCTTTCCTACATACTCTAACTTGAGCCTCACTATCCTCGTAAAAACTCTTCACTGCTTTCAGTAACCTACCTCCTACACCATACACCTGCAACATCTGCCACATTGCCCCCCTATCCACCCTGTCATACGCCTTTTCCAAATCCATAAATGCCACAAAGACCTCTTTAGCCTTATCTAAATATTGTTCACTTATATGTTTCACTGTAAACACCTGGTCCACACACCCCCTACCTTTCCTAAAGCCTCCTTGTTCATCTGCTATCCTATTCTCCGTCTTACTCTTAATTCTTTCAATAATAACTCTGCCATACACTTTACCAGGTATACTCAACAGACTTATCCCCCTATGATTTTTGCACTCTCTTTTGTCCCCTTTGCCTTTATACAAAGGAACTATGCATGCTCTCTGCCAATCCCTAGGTACCTTACCCTCTTCCATACATTTATTAAATAATTGCACCAACCACTCCAAAACTATATCCCCACCTGCTTTTAACATTTCTATCTTTATCCCATCAATCCTGGCTGCCTTACCCCCTTTCATTTTACCTACTGCCTCACGAACTTCCCCCACACTCACAACTGACTCTTCCTCACTCCTACAAGATGTTATTCCTCCTTGCCCTATACATGAAATCACAGCTTCCCTATCTTCATCAACAAATAAATAAATAAATGCTCTTACCAGCTGCAACTTTTCTAAATCACAATACACACCGTGTTTTTTTTAACGAGTTTGGCATCATGTAGCAAGGAATAAACCTCCTGCTCAAGTGGTGTTCGTAGTTGCACTGGCTCTACCTTCTCCAGTGTTTTAAACCTTAAATCTTCCTGTTCCAGAGGAAAGCTTAGATGGCTGCTCTGCCGACGAAGATGCACTACCTTACCCCATTTGTTTACTTCCATTGCCACTTTTTCAAAGCCAGCTGCACGCTTTGCCTGAAAAAGAGAAAATACTATATACATTAAAAGACTTTTCCTTATTAATGTGGAATCCAGAACAGTTCAAATTTTTTTAGAAAGCATGAACAGTAATTGGTTAAAAGTTTGAAATATCTATGGTAACACATATCTATGTAGCAAATAACTTTTAAGATAAAGCACATTTTAATATTGGTCAAAGTAATCAAAGCAACTGCATAATAACTTTGGTAAATGGATATGTTGCAGGTTTCTGGATATAATAATATGATTCATCTGTATTATGTGCTTAAAAACTTGCAACACTTTTCACAAAAAAAGCAATAGAAAATAACCACAAGCATAGGTTTTCCCTAAAAGTTTTTATACATTTCATCTAAAGTCAAATATGGTAATATATCATTTATAACATAGTATGAGGCATGAAATATATTTTCTTAAGTTTGTCCTCAGAGACACCTATTTGTTTATGTTAATGCATCAAAGTGTAATGAATATTTATCAGAGAGAGTTCAGTACTAACATAGAAACAAAATCCCTACTACAAAAGTGACCCACAACAGCAGAAAAACAACCAGGCACTTATTTACCTCTAGGCAAACAAAGACAGACTAACAGACATGCATTTACAGCTTGTGTTAGTTTCACTACAGGATCTGTCCTCTCACCCACTCATTACCTGACACATACCCCCATGCACCACTCCTTTGTATGGGGAGAGGTGCAACCTTCCCTATATATTCATATTCTCCTTTCTGCTGAAGAGTATCCAAGAAGGGGATTGAAATATACAAACCAATTAATCTTCTGGGTTTCTATCTCAATGTGGGTTATTACTGAGCAGTGGCAAGTGTTCATTACACTTTAGTTATCCACAAAACTTGTTGATGATATTTGGAAATAAATTAGCAAGACAAAAGCAATAATGAATAAGTTTTATTGTTTAACTAACCCTGAGGACAAATGGCTTCTCATGAGGCTTTGGGATAGCCTTAATTTTCTGTGAGGACTTGTTCAATGAAGAGCTGTCAAGTTTCTTCAGGATGCCACTTGTGTCAACTTTAGATATACCCGCGCCAAGTGAGGTGCGCACATCACGTCTTATTACAGGTCTGAAAAACATTACCATGAAGCAGAAATGAAGATAAAGTCACAGGGTAGCACATATGATTTGACAGACAGACTTTGGAGATAACACAAAACTGAACAGTACATTACAGTAATTTTTTTTTGTTTGGTGAATCATTTTTGGTGGGATATTGAGGTATAAATAAACAGATTTCGGAATAATTTAAAAAGCTAACAAATTACTAGACAGACAGTAAGTGATGATTAACATGTTTTCCTTCACTGTGTCATCCTGTCTTGGTAAGAAACTACTGTGTTATAAAGTGAAAACAAGACTATAATAAACCACAGTTGTTTAAAGACTGGCAGAGCAAGTGGTTTACTCCAGTGTATGGTATTTATTTCCCTCGCTCTGCTGACAAGGTATTTTGTACATATTAGTGTTGCGTGCTTTTTCTAAGTTTAACAGTTTTAGTTCTATTTAATATATTGCACATTTGGGAACCTCTGACCTTGGCTGTCTAAGCTGCAGTTAATGATTAAGAGCTAGTCATTGGGTTCAAAGCTTTAAAATTATTTTTTTTATTTTTTTTTATTATCACACCGGCCGATTCCCACCAAGGCAGGGTGGCCCGAAAAAGAAAAACTTTCACCATCATTCACTCCATCACTGTCTTGCCAGAAGGGTGCTTTACACTACAGTTTTTAAACTGCAACATTAACACCCCTCCTTCAGAGTGCAGGCACTGTACTTCCCATCTCCAGGACTCAAGTCCGGCCTGCCGGTTTCCCTGAATCCCTTCATAAATGTTACTTTGCTCACACTCCAACAGCACGTCAAGTATTAAAAACCATTTGTCTCCATTCACTCCTATCAAACACGCTCACGCATGCCTGCTGGAAGTCCAAGCCCTCGCACACAAAACCTCCTTTACCCCCTCCCTCCAACCCTTCCTAGGCCGACCCCTACCCCGCCTTCCTTCCACTACAGACTGATACACTCTTGAAGTCATTCTGTTTCGCTCCATTCTCTCTACATGTCCGAACCACCTCAACAACCCTTCCTCAGCCCTCTGGACAACAGTTTTGGTAATCCCGCACCTCCTCCTAACTTCCAAACTACGAATTCTCTGCATTATATTCACACCACACATTGCCCTCAGACATGACATCTCCACTGCCTCCAGCCTTCTCCTCGCTGCAACATTCATCACCCACGCTTCACACCCATATAAGAGTGTTGGTAAAACTATACTCTCATACATTCCCTCTTTGCCTCCAAGGACAAAGTTCTTTGTCTCCACAGACTCCTAAGTGCACCACTCACTCTTTTTCCCTCATCAATTCTATGATTCACCTCATCTTTCATAGACCCATCCGCTGACACGTCCACTCCCAAATATCTGAATACGTTCACCTCCTCCATACTCTCTCCCTCCAATCTGATATTCAATCTTTCATCACCTAATCTTTTTGTTATCCTCATAACCTTACTCTTTCCTGTATTCACCTTTAATTTTCTTCTTTTGCACACCCTACCAAATTCATCCACCAATCTCTGCAACTTCTCTTCAGAATCTCCCAAGAGCACAGTGTCATCAGCAAAGAGCAGCTGTGACAACTCCCACTTTGTGTGTGATTCTTTATCTTTTAACTCCACGCCTCTTGCCAAGACCCTCGCATTAAAATATATAGATAATACCTGGCTCACAATATACCTGTCCAAAGTGTGCCTTCCTTGCACCAAAGTTACACACTGTCTGCCACCTTTTTAGTGTAAAATGCAACAATGTAAAACATTCCTACCTAAATAAACATCTATATCCTGAAAGGTGGCTGAGAGTTATTGCTAAGGAATCCATTTATTTTGTGAACACACAGGAAGAAAAAAGCTACAATGCTGCCATTTTCATTATTTACTGTCATTAATATACACCTAGAATGATTATGTCTAAGATGCAATATGTAAAAAAAATTGTTCTAACAATGTGACTTTGAACATATGAAGAAATTTTTAGGTTGTACTTCAAGGTGATCAATACAGAATGCACTCTTAATGTCACTTACTTCTTTTTCTTGCTTATCTTGTTTATGTCACTGAGGAGATGTGCATGGGCCTTTTCATCTTGAATATCACCATCATCACTATCCATATAGGCATCATCTTCATCTTCATAACCATCACCATCACCTGGTGTTGCTGACACAAAAAGTTCCTCATCTTCTTGGTCTTTCCACCTAAAAGAAAAATACAAAATGTTTTATACACAAAGATTAATATCACTTTCATATAAAAGCAACAGATGACTATCTGTCTTATAAGGTGCACAGTAAGGAGTGCTTTATTTATATAATAATTCTTAATCTTCATTAATAGCCTGAAATAAGTATATGCACCCACTCTTAAGAATCTAAAGTAGATGATAATGCTTTCACTGCAGGAATGTAAACACACTGATATATGATGAAATATTTTATTAGTTACTGAAATGATAAACCATCCTGAGTGATGGTTTAAGAGGTTCAGAGGTTAGTGTGTTTGATTCACTATTGAGAGGACGTGGGGATGCCCCACATGAAGCAGGATGTATACCTGGAGTTTACCTGGAGAAAGATCTGGGGGTCAACGCCCCCGTGGCCTGGTCTGTGACCAGGCCTCATGGTGGATCAGGGCCTGATCAACCAGGCTGTTACTGCTGGCTGCATGCAATCCAACGTACAAGCCACAGCCCGGCTGGTCAGGTACTGACTTTAGGTGCCTGTCCAGTGCCTGCTTGAAGACACCCAGGGGTCTATGGTAATCCCCCTTATGTATGCTGGGAGGCAGTTGAACAGTCTTGGGCCCCTGACACTTATTGTGTTGTCTCTTAGTGTGCTAGTGACACCCCTGCTTTTCATTGGAGGGATGTTGCATCGTCTGCCGAGTCTTTTGCTTTCAGAGAGAATGATTTTTGTGTGCAAGTCTGGTACTAGTCCCTCTAGGATTTTCCAAGTGTATATAATCATGTATCTGTTCCGCCTGCATTCCAGGGAGTACAGGTTCAGGAACTTCAAGAGCTCCCAGTAATTGAGGTGTTTTATCTCAGTTATGCGTGCCGTGTACATTTTCTAGGTCAGCAATTTCACCTGCCTTGAAAGGTGCTGTTAGTGTGCAGCAATATTCCAGCCTAGATAGAACAAGCGACCTGAAGAGTGTCATCATGGGCTTCGCATCCCTAGTTTTGAAGGTTCTCATTATCCATCCTGTCATTTTTCTAGCAGATGCGATTGATACAATGTTATGGTCCTTGAAGGTGAGATCCTCTGACATGATCACTCCCAGGTCTTTGATGTTAGTTTTTCACTCTATTGTGTGGCTGGAATTTGTTTTATACTCTGATGAAGTTTTAATTTCCTCGTTTTTACCATATCGGAGTAACTGAAATTTCTCATCGTTGAACTTCATATTGTTTTCTGCAGCCCACTGAAAGATTTGGTAAGACTTATCATCCTGTGTCAACAGGTCACTTTGTCTGACCGACCTGTGTAAACAGGTTGGTAAGTATACATGTGTCTCATTCATCAACCTGTTGGTTTTCTAAACCATTTATATAATAATACCTACTGCCCTTGTTATCTATTAGGAAATAGTCGCCAGCTGTGGGTCACATTTTGGGAAAGGACCCAATAAACATAAACCACAATGATTACTTTTATTGGATTATCTGGAGTTACCAACTTTTCAGGGTTAGGGAAGATTTAGATGTCTGTATAGTCTTCTTTTTACATACAATTTTTTTAGTGGTGTTGAGAAGACACAGATGTTACTGGCAAGCACTAACATACTTGCATGTACACATATTTACATAGTATATCCAGTAGTTTTAATCTAGGGTATCCATTAAAGCCAAACAATGTGACTCACATTCATTGGGGTATCTAAAATGCTTTATCCAACCTTGTAACTCCACCACATATGCTGGAATGTATGTAAACCAACTGGTAGCTTTACTCAACACGTAATATGAGCTATACTTCTATAGCAGTGCTTTACCCGGCAAGCAATATGTACTGTACTACTATATTAGGTACCTACTTTACGGACTTCGTGGGAAACTTCATGGTGTTTCTTATTTCTCGTCACTGAAACGTGGATTGCCTTTTAGTTTTTTTTTTTGGGGGGGGGGGGCAGGTGTTGGGGTTGTTAAGGGCACCAAAGCTTTTGCACCTATTTCTTGGGTGTGTAAGGGCCACCTCGTATCGAGCCTGTTTCTAGTATACACAAATACATTTATATAGATTATCATACATAGCAGCATATGTGTGGAGAACCTAGGATAACCCAAAAGAGTAAAACAAAGTGACTTATTTCCACTTGGGTTCTGATGTACGGGAAAGAGATATTGCCCAAATCTGGGCATTGAAAGAAAAAGGAACGGGCGTCCCTTTGTAAATAAAAACAGAAACTAGAGGTTCCTAATTAGATCAGGTGGATTTCCCTCTCCAAGCCCCAGCAGAGCGAAAGGCCAACACCCTCACCCAAGTTTGTGACCTCTGCAATCCCCCCCCCCCCATAAAGTTTTGAGGTGGTCAGTCCCTCAGTCTGGAGAAGAGCATTGTTCCATAGTATGAAACAATATGGAGATGAAGTGACAGAATGGAGCTTTTTATAGCGCCAAGAGGTGAGACGTAGGCCACTAGGAGAGGTAAGAACTGAGTTCTTACCTATATTGTTTCATACTATGGAACAATGCTCTTCTCCAGACTGAGGGACTGACCACCTCAAAACTTTAAGGGTGATGACTGATTACATCGTCTTCAAGTATCTTCTGCTTCTATCAACTTTTCTGTACTTGACTGAAGAAGCCTACTGTGTAGGCGAAACGTTTCATAATAAAGATACCTAACTGTTGCATATGTGTCTCACCTAACAACCTGTCGGTATTTTATACCATTTTAATGTTCAATCCCCCCCCCCCTTTTTTCTTGGCGCTACTGTTCACAGGATGAGCATGGGGTACATAAGCAACTAGCCTCTCAGGTGGTACAACTAAAACTATGTAGAGAACGGGAAAAAATTGTCATTGATGGTCACAGTTGAGCCAGACGTCAGCATATCAGATGCATTTTAATATAGACAAATGCAAAGTTCTAAATATTGGACAGGAAAATAACTATGCAACATATAAGCTAAATAATGTAGATCTTAATATTACGGATTGCGAAAAGGATTTAGGAGTTCTGGTTATCAGTAATCTGAAACCAAAACAACAGTGCAAAAGTGTTCGCAATAAAGCTAACAGAATCCTTGGCTTCATATCAAGAAGTATAAATAACAGTAATAAAGTTGGTAGAATTACCGACAATATGTAAAGTAAAAGGACACAAGCGCAACTAATGTGACTTTTTATTGTGGCAACGTTTCGCTCTCCAGGAGCTTTGTCAAGCCGTTACCGGCTAACGGCACAGGCACCACTGTGACCACAAATGCAAGTTTTTACAGACGAATCTCCAGCTAGCGTGGCCGTGACGAACTCTAGCTCAAGTCCCTTCACTGCCGTCAACATGACTCACGAAATCGTAATGACACGATTGAAAACAAAGCATACCCCGGCCGGGATTGAACCGCGGTCAGAGAGTCTCAAAACTCCAGACCGTCGCGTTAGCCACTAGACCAGCTAGCCACAATAAGATTCGTCCAACTAGGTATATTTCTACACCATAGGAAGGTTAGCACAGGCACCACTGTGACCACAAATGCAAGTTTTTACAGACGAATCTCCAGCTAGCGTGGCCGTGACGAACTCTAGCTCAAGTCCCTTCACTGCCGTCAACATGACTCACGAAATCGTAATGACACGATTGAAAACAAACCATACCCCGGCCGGGATTGAACCGCGGTCAGAGAGTCTCAAAACTCCAGACCGTCGCGTTAGCCACTAGACCAGCTAGCCACAATAAGATTCGTCCAACTAGGTATATTTCTAAGATAAGATAAGATAAGATTTCGTTCGGATTTTTAACCCCGGAGGGTTAGCCACCCAGGATAACCCAAGAAAGTCAGTGCGTCATCGAGGACTGTCTAACTTATTTCCATTGGGGTCCTTAATCTTGTCCCCCAGGATGCGACCCACACCAGTCGACTAACACCCAGGTACCTATTTGCTGCTAGGTGAACAGGACAACAGGTGTAAGGAAACGTGTCGAATGTTTCCACCCGCCGGGAATCGAACCCGGGCCCTCCGTGTGTGAAGCGGGAGCTTTAGCCACCAGGCCACCGGGCACCGGGCACCATAGGAAGGTTAGCACAGGCACCACTGTGACCACAAATGCAAGTTTTTACAGACGAATCTCCAGCTTGCGTGGCCGTGACGAACTCTAGCTCAAGTCCCTTCACTGCCGTCAACATGTGGCTAGCTGGTCTAGTGGCTAACGCGACGGGCTGGAGTTTTGAGACTCTCTGACCGCGGGTTCAATCCCGGCCGGGGTATGGTTAGTACTCACCTAGCTGTACTCACCTAGTTGAGGTTGCAGGGGTGGAGTCCAAGCTCCTGGCCCCGCCTCTTCACTGGTCGCTACTAGGTCACTCTCCCTGAACCGTAGCTTTATCACATCTCTGCTTAAAGCTATGTATGGATCCTGCCTCCACTACATCGCTTCCCAAACTATTCCACTTCCTGACTACTCTGTGGCTGAAGAAATACTTCCTAACATCCCTGTGATTCATCTGTGTCTTCAACTTCCAACTGTGTCCCCTTGTTGCTGTGTTCCATCTCTGGAACATCCTGTCTTTGTCCACCTTGTCAATTCCTCTCAGTATTTTGTATGTCGTTATCATGTCCCCCCTATCTCTCCTGTCCTCAAGTGTCGTCAGGTGGATTTCCCTTAACCTCTCCTCGTAGGACACACCTCTTAGCTCTGGGACTAGTCTTGTTGCAAACCTTTGCACTTTCTCTAGTTTCTTAGTGCAGAAGGCCTTAGGTCAGGCGAACCCCGTGCCCAAACACTAGAAGAGATAGACACCCGAAGTCTTGAAAATCCGCTAAGCAGGAAAAAGAAAAGGCTGATGAATGTCCTATTCCCTCCTAGACCAATTACCCAACTAGACTTAGGGGTGTCTCCAGAATTTCTACATAGGAGGGCCTTAGGGGACATAATCTAGTTAATAATGCAAATAACTCAGTTTACTTTACTCCTAGTATATCTCCTTTTATTGTAATTGATTTTCACACAGTTGAGTTACTTAGTTGTTTTAACTTTTAAGGTTTAAATAATAAGTTATTACAAGGACCCAATGGAAATAAGTCACTGTCTGACTTTTTTGGGTTATCCTAGGTAATTTACACATATGTTACTTATGCATAATAATTTGAGTAGCTATATTTATGTGTACCTGTACCTAAATAAACTTAGTATATAATATACTTACTTGTTTAAGGGGTGGGTAGCTGGGTGGGGTGATGGTTGCCGGGCAACAGTAAACAACAATATGGAGAAAGGTGATTCAACCATGATGTTCGCTGCCCACCAGATGTTCAAGTTTTCCAGTGAGTTGCAGACATTTACTTCAGTTGTGAGTGGACATAGGAAGGCATTTGTGTCCCAAGACACTTGTGTGCTGATATCTTTGGTCAGGATGTTGTCCTAGTGAGGTAAAATGGAAAATAGATGTGGTGGGTTTTGTCGTGGGTGCGGTGGACAGTGTTGGTCAATGCCAAGAAACGATGACTGTAGGAGTATCTTCTTTTTTTGTTGATGTCAAGATGTTTATAGTGGCTATGGTAGTGTGTGGGACAACTTACTATGCCACTGGCATAATCTCCCTGGCCATTTTAGGGATGTTTAGATCAGCCATAACTTCTGGTTAGGACGTTGGGAAACCAGACTCCACTTTCCCGCACTGCAGGTTTCCCACAGCATTTTGGGGGAGAACTCTGATGATGCAGGCATCTTAGTGCCAAGATTTTTGCATAGGTTCCATTTTTCTCTTTAAACAAAATTTAGGCAATATTTTATCCCCGAGGCACCAGGAAACGACTCAATACAGTTCTCACCTGCAAACTACTTATATGTCCTGGGTGGTTGAAGAGGCTTATTTCCTGTATTTCGAGTAGGTCTGTTACTATTTAGAATAAACTGAGTACCAAATATCTGCTAGTTTTGAATTTGTCAAAAATGGAGGAGCTAAGCAAATCAGATGGGCTGGGTTGATGCCAAGGTTGTCAAGGTCTCTTGCTGCAAGTTCTGCTACTTTGTTAGTCAAATGATGAGATATGGGATGCATGCACAGTATTGCAGTGACTCAGTTTTTGACATCTGAAGATGGTTTGAAGTCTATGATGATAAGACGCTGTATAGCCCTTGTGGGTTAGCGCTTCTTTTTGATTATAATAATATGATGATAAGAGATTGTTTGATTGTTGTATGTTTGTATCATAAATTGTACTACTTGTAATACTGTTATCAGTTATGTCTACATTATAACTATAAAGCTTATTAACTAGACTTTTGGCTACCTGATAGTAGTAATAAATTAATGAATCTTTAAAATTTACCACTCTTTACCTGTCTAGATTTAAGTAGTCTTAAGTATTAGGTTAAGTCTGCCCAAAATGCCCCGGCATGATAGTGGCTTTCTTTGTACCAAACTAATTATGAAGTATAATCATGCATTGTAACCTTGTAACCTTTGCAAAAAAAAAAAAAAATTGTATTTGTATCACGATATACAGATACTGTACTGTACATACAAGGACCCCAAAGGAAATAAGTTACTTTGACTTTTTTGGGGGGGTTATTCTAGATAATTTACACATGTTAAATTACATTGTACTTGTGTGTACCTGTACCTAAATAAACTTACTTAATATGTGGTTTCAGTGAGATGCACTACATGTAAACTCTAATGGAAATAAATTTCTTTGAAGAATTGTAGGGATATCTTAGAATATCCCTGCAGAAGTTTCAATATTTCAAGCATGGTGGCCAGCTTGATGCAACCCTGGCAAGATAATATGGCCAGGTGACCTGACTAATCATCAATGACCTGGTGCCTCCTGTACCTGACTTCTCTTCCCTACTGCTACTCTCTCATGTCCTATATTGGACTGACAGAGTTCCCAGGAACAAAACATATCCTAATGTTCTAGTAGTGAACAAGTGCTTTATTTACATTGACATTATAAGTTGTGTATCATGTCAGTGGTATACAATACTGAAAGACAGATGAGAAAGACATGTACTACAGTTTGATATCTTTATTAATAAAACATTTTGCCTGTTCAGCAGTCTTCTTTGATTGAAATAGAGAGGAGACAACAGAAGTAGTGAAGATGTAGAAATGTAGATTTTATAAGTACTGTATAGACAGTACTAAGTTTTTGTAACTACTGTGGGTAGTAAGTACATCACTCAGCCATGGACAGTGTAACTAGATAGGTAGCTGTACACAGACTTGTCTTGGCTAGGTATATCTAAGTAAGGCATAGGATTTCTGTAAAACTTTTGTTAGGATAGCTTTTAATTTGAGAGTTGATAAATATTCAAGTATTTATGATGTGTAATGTTATTGTGTTTGTGCTATTGCTCTGTATTTTTTTTGTGATTACTGCAGTCTTTTGTTAAGCAGGGTTACATAATCTTGTATTTTAAGAGTTTGGAGATGCTAACAATCTCCATAGAATATTTAGGGCCTGTTATACAGTATTAATTTTGTATTTTTCGAACTTGTGTATTTTTGTGATAGATTGAAAATTTGTTTATTTTGCAGATGTCGGTGCCATTATCCTGGCATTTGGGTAAAGCTGCTGGTAATGCCCAGCAGACCTTCACCACTACGACTGAGAGTAAATTAACCTTTGCTTCCAGCCCTATTCTTACCCTTTTATTGTCTTTCCTTGAGTGAGAACTACTGTAAATATTCTATAATTCTATTTTGTTTGCCAAGATGCCTATTCATGTCTCAGACTACACTTGGCAGCAGACCCATGAAAAGATCATTCTGTCACTTGATCTACATCAGACGAGTCCTAAAAATGTGGATATTGTAACCACAGACTCCTACCTCAAGGTATGTATGACCTTTTATTTTATTTTGTTTTTGAATAAGTTTATGTAACATGGTGATGTTTTGTATATTTTAGATGGACACAAAATGTTGATTTTAATATTTTTTTTTTTTTTTTTTTTTTTTTTTTTATCACACCGGCCGATTCTCACCAAGGCAGGGTGGCCCGAAAAAGAAAAACTTTCACCATCATTCACTCCATCACTGTCTTGCCAGAAGGGTCCTTTACACTTCAGTTTTTAAACTGCAACATTAACACCCCTCCTTCAGAGTGCAGGCACTGTACTTCCCATCTCCAGGACTCAAGTCCGGCCTGCCGGTTTCCCTGAACCCCTTCATAAATGTTACTTTGCTCACACTCCAACAGCACGTCAAGTATTAAAAACCATTTGTCTCCATTCACTCCTATCAAACATGCTCACGCATGCCTGCTGGAAGTCCAAGCCCCTCGCACACAAAACCTCCTTTACCCCCTCCCTCCAACCTTTCCTAGGCCGACCCCTACCCCCGCCTTCCTTCCACTACAGACTGATACACTCTTGAAGTTATTCTGTTTCGCTCCATTCTCTCCACATGTCCGAACCACCTCAACAACCCTTCCTCAGCCCTCTGGACAACAGTTTTGGTAATCCCGCACCTCCTCCTAACTTCCAAACTACGAATTCTCTGCATTATATTCACACCACACATTGCTCTCAGACATGACATCTCCACTGCCTCCAGCCTTCTTCTCGCTGCAACATTCATCACCCATGCTTCACACCCATATAAGAGCGTTGGTAAAACTATACTCTCATACATTCCTCTCTTTGCCTCCAAGGACAAAGCTCTTTGTCTCCACAGACTCCTAAGTGCACCACTCACCCTTTTCCCCCTCATCAATTCTATGATTCACCTCATCTTTCATAGACCACATCCGCTGACACGTCCACTCCCAGATATCTGAATACATTCACCTCGTCCATACTCTCTCCCTCCAATCTGATATCCAATCTTTCATCACCTAATCTTTTTGTTATCCTCATAACCTTACTCTTTCCTGTATTCACTTTCAATTTTCTTCTTTTGCACACCCTACCAAATTCATCCACCAATCTCTGCAACTTCTCTTCAGAATCTCCCAAGAGCACAGTGTCATCAGCAAAGAACAACTGTTACAACTCCCACTTTATGTGTGATTCTTTATCTTTTAACTCCATGCCTCTTGCCAAGACCCTCGCATTTACTTCTCTTACAACCCCATCTATAAATATATTAAACAACCACGGTGACATCACACATCCTTGTCTAAGGCCTACTTTTACTGGGAAATAATTTCCCTCTTTCCTACATACTCTAACTTGAGCCTCACTATCCTCGTAAAAAAATCTTCACTGCTTTCAGTAACCTACCTCCTACACCATACACCTGCAACATCTGCCACATTGCCCCCCTATCCACCCTGTCAAAACGCCTTTTCCAAATCCATAAATGCCACAAAGACCTCTTTAGCCTTATCTAAATACTGTTCACTTATATATTTCACTGTAAACACCTGGTCCACACACCCCTACCTTTCCTAAAGCCTCCTTGTTCATCTGCTATCCTATTCTCCGTCTTACTCTTAATTCTTTCAATAATAACTCTACCATACACTTTACCAGGTATACTCAACAGACTTATCCCCTATAATTTTTGCACTCTCTTTTATCCCCTTTGCCTTTATACAAAGGAACTATGCATGCTCTCTGCCAATCCCTAGGTACCTTACCCTCTTCCATACATTTATTAAATAATTGCACCAACCACTCCAAAACTACACCCCCACCTGCTTTTAAATTTCTATCTTTATCCCATCAATCCCGGCTGCCTTACCCCCTTTCATTTTACCTACTGCCTCACGAACTTCCCCCACACTCACAACTGGCTCTTCCTCACTCCTACAAGATGTTGTTCCTCCTTGCCCTATACACGAAATCACAGCTTCCCTATCTTCATCAACATTTAACAATTCCTCAAAATATTCCCTCCATCTTCCCAATACCTCTAACTCTCCATTTAATAACTCTCCTCTCCTATTTTTAACTGACAAATCCATTTGTTCTCTAGGCTTTCTTAACTTGTTAATCTCACTCCAAAACTTTTTCTTATTTTCAACAAAATTTGTTGATAACATCTCACCCACTCTCTCATTTGCTCTCTTTTTACACTGCTTCACCACTCTCTTAACCTCTCTCTTTTTCTCCATATACTCTTCCCTCCTTGCATCACTTCTACTTTGTAAAAACTTCTCATAAGCTAACTTTTTCTCCCTTACTACTCTCTTCACATCATCATTCCACCAATCGCTCCTCTTCCCTCCCGCACCCACTTTCCTGTAACCACAAACTTCTGCTGAACACTCTAACACTAAATTTTTAAACCTACCCCATACCTCCTCGACCCCATTGCCTATGCTCTCATTAGCCCATCTATTCTCCAATAGCTGTTTATATCTTACCCTAACTGCCTCCTCTTTTAGTTTATAAACCTTCACCTCTCTCTTCCCTGATGCTTCTATTCTCCTTGTATCCCATCTACCTTTTACTCTCAGTGTAGCTACAACTAGAAAGTGATCTGATATATCTGTGGCCCCTCTATAAACATGTACATCCTGAAGTCTACTCAACAGTCTTTTATCTACCAATACATAATCCAACAAACTACTGTCATTTCGCCCTACATCATATCTTGTATACTTATTTATCCTTTTTTTCTTAAAATATGTATTACCTATAACTAAACCCCTTTCTATACAAAGTTCAATCAAAGGGCTCCCATTATCATTTACACCTGGCACCCCAAACTTACCTACCACACCCTCTCTAAAAGTTTCTCTTACTTTAGCATTCAGATCCCCTACCATAATTACTCTCTCACTTGGTTCAAAAGCTCCTATACATTCACTTAACATCTCCCAAAATCTCTCTCTCTCCTCTGCATTCCTCTCTTCTCCAGGTGCATACACGCTTATTATGACCCACTTCTCGCATCCAACCTTTACTTTAATCCACATAATTCTTGAATTTACACATTCATATTCTCTTTTCTCCTTCCATAACTGATCATTCAACATTACTGCTACCCCTTCCTTTGCTCTAACTCTCTCAGATACTCCAGATTTAATCCCATTTATTTCCCCCCACCGAAACTCCCCTACCCCCTTCAGCTTTGTTTCGCTTAGGGCCAGGACATCCAACTTCTTTTCATTCATAACATCAGCAATCAGCTGTCATCCGCACTACATCCACGCACATTTAAGCATCCCAGTTTTATAAAGTTTTTCTTCTTCTCTTTTTTAGTAAATGTCTACAGGAGAAGGGGTTACTAGCCCATTGCTCCCGGCATTTTAGTTGCCTCATACGACACGCATGGCTTACGGAGGAAAGATTCTTTTCCACTTCCCCATGGACAATAGAAGAAATAAAGAGGAACAAGAGCTATTTAGAAAAAGGAGAAAAACCTAAATGTATGTATATATATATGCATGTACGTGTCTGTGAAGTGTGACCAAAGTGTAAGTAGGAGTAACAAGATATCCCTGTTATCTAGCGTGTTTATGAGACAGAAAAAGATTTTAATATGATATGATTTATTTAATTTGTAATTCAGCAGTATACAGTAAACTTGTAAGTCATCAATATACAGTATAGACTATAAGCATTTCAGATTTAAATGGGAGATATGTCTTGTGTAATTCATGTAGTTATAGCCCATGCCACTTTCCAGACTTTGTATGTATGTACTTCATGATTGGACCTAAACACCTTTAAGGGATTTAGAATAAGAGAATTGGAGATATCTTCCACTCCTTGGATCACACTTGATTGCCTCTCATTTCCCAAGCACTTTATGACTCTTTAGGATTTAATGCTGCCACATGAAAATAATAATACAGTAATAGTGCTAAACACAAACATTATATGCCTAACAGTTTTTAAGTTTTTATCACTGTAATATACATTTTTATTCATTGTGATTTTGTCCTTATTTTTTGGTTCTAGTATTAGTGGAAAAACATTTGAAGTGCAGATCTGCTGCTTTGTGCAGAATGTCAGACTGAAAAAAATGTGATAGGGAAGAATATACTAAATTAACAATATGTTGTAAAATTTGTATTGATGTTAATGTATAGACATATGAACATTTGTTACCTAGCACTCAAGTAGGCATTGGAAGTTATGTAAACTGTAATCTTTGTGATACTGGGACCTATTACAAATCTGGTGGAGTCTGACTGCACTCATGGTAACTTTTTAAATGTTTGTGTTCCAGCAACATTCGTACCTCTTCACATTTTGGTACTGTACTGCACAGTACTTGTATACAGAAGGCCTCCACTTATACAGCAGTTTAGCTTACGGGCTACTGCTGTAAAGCAAAAATCGCTGTAAAGTGAAACAGCTGTTTGTTTGTTTGTTTGTTTTTCAATTTCAAATGCATATAAAAGCTTGATATCATGTTATACTATCATATATTAAGTGAGCAGTAGAGCTAGGTCTAAAAAAGAATATACAATACACACATTACTCACCTTAAGATATTTTCGTTTTTAGCTTACAGTGAGTGGTGAATATATTTATTGTAGGAAGTCCGAATAAACGAAGAATGGGTATAATTGAAAACTGCTGCATTAGCAAAACACTGTAAGGTCAAGCATTAAAGTGGGGTCATCCTGTATAAACAAATCTGCTTTCTCTACCAAGTTATTTTCTTCAAGAGTAAATTATTGGATATTTTGTGTGAATGATTATTCATTTGACAGTATAAATTGGTAGTAGGTTGGTAGACAGCAACCGCCCAGGGAGGTACTACCGTCCTGCCAAGTGAGTGTAAAACGAAAACCTGTAATTGTTTTACATGATGGTAGGATTGCTGGTGCCCTTTTTTCTGTCTCATGAACATGCAAGATTTCAGGTACGTCTTGTTACTTCTACTTACACTTAGGTCACACTACACATACATGTACAAGCGTATATATACATACCCCTCTGGGTTTTCTTCTATTTTCTTTCTAGTTCTTGTTTATTTCCTCTTATCTCCATGGGGAAGTGGAACAGAATTCTTCCTCCGTACGCCATGCGTGTTGTAAGAGGCAACTAAAATGCCGGGAGCAAGGGGCTAGTAACCCCTTCTCCTGTATATATTACTAAATGTAAAAGGAGAAACTTCCGTTTTTCCTTTTGGACCACCCAGCCTCGGTGGGATACGACCGATGTGTTGAAAGAAAGAAAGTATAAATTTTATACATGACCTTTCTTTTTTCAACAAACTGGCCGTATCCCACCGAGGCAGGATGGCCCAAAAAGAAAGAACTAAAGTTTCTCTAGTAATGTATACAGGAGAAGGGGTTACTAGCCTCTTGCTCCCGGCATTTTAGTCTCCTCTTACGACACGCGTGGCTTATGGAGGAAGAATTCTATTCCACTTCCCCATGGAGATATGAGGAAATAAACAAACACAAGAACTAGTAAGAAAATAGAAGAAAATCCAGAGGGGTGTGTGTATATATATCCTTGTACATGCATGTGTAGTGTAACCTAAGTGTAAGTAGAAGTAGCAAGACATACCTGAAATCTTGCATGTTTATAAGACAAATAAGACACCAGCAGTCCTACCATCATGTAAAACAATTACAGGCTTTTGTTTTACACTCCCTTGGCAGGATGGTAGTACCTCCTTGGGTGGTTGCTGTCTACCAATCTACTACCTAGAATATATGATCTATCTTCATTTATGAAAAATATAAAGTTGACACTTTTTACATTAGCAAAGATCTCATATTTTGTGGCAAGATTATGTAATATAAAGTATGAAATATTTTGTGCATTAGAGCTATACAGTGGAACCTCAAAAATCGAACTGCTCCCAACACAACCAATTATGTAAGTGTATTTTTGTAAGTGCTTTTATAAGTGTATTTTTGAGGGTCTGATATGGACTAATCTAATTTACATTATTCCTGATGGGAATAAATTCATTCGGTAAAGGCACTTGAACAGCCTTCTGGACTGAAGAAAGTTCGATATTTGAGGTTCCACTGTATTGCTATTTAAATTATTATTATTGTTGTTGATATTATTAATTTGATTAAATTTTCCTTAACAGGTGAGTTTTTTGCCATATATATTTGAAGCATTTTTGTGCCATATGATCAAATCAGAGCAGAGCACAGCTAGGATCATGAAAGGAAGAATAGAATTTGATCTGGCAAAAGAGAACCAGGTGCACTGGAGTAATTTCTGTCTGAAGTTGAGTCGAGAAGAAATGCAAATTAAGAGGCAAGAAGCTATCAGAGATTCTGAAGAAAAAGAAAAATTGAAGGAAAAACTACGGAAAGGTAAAAGAATGAATATTACTTAATTTATTCAGCATTTTTATTTCACTTTATATGTATTATACTTATATTAAGAAATGATATATGTATTTTTTTCCCCTTTTGATGCAATTTATTACAGAAAGGCAGATACTGTATTGATTTTATATCAAAATTTAAATCTTAGACTTAAATAATTGTGTCTCAGAAGCCCTGCGACAAATTTCTTTTTTTGGATAAATGTATGTGAAAATGTTTGTGAACAATCATCTGACAACGTTTTTCTTCCAGAGGAGCATAATTGGCGGGAAAAATTTGCCGTGGCACAGCAGATTTCAGAAGATGATAAGACACGAGAAGAACGTAAGAAATTAATTGAAAAAGAGAAAATGGAATTCTTCAGTGAGCCCATTAAAGATATACTTCCAAAGGATGAAGTGCCTGCTACTCAGCCCATTAAGGATATCTGTCAGAAGGATGAAGCAGAAGGCAAGTTTGATTATAATAGCAGCAAGGATTTATTGTCAAAATTAAAAATAAGATTAATAAATATAACAGTTCACTTAAACTAGTTTCAGGAACCGGTAAATATACACTTTGCTCACAGGGAGCTTGATCAGTCTAATGCAATAAATAAGAGCAGAAAAGACAGGTGCAGGTGCAATAAATGAAAATTCAAGGCAACATCTCTTATGCAGATCTGTCTCTTTGATTGTGAGTCTGGTCTTTTCCTACTTCATTAAATGGCCATGTGAACCAAGGTCACTGGGATACACATGCACATTGTCTCATAGTAGATGAAATGTCTCGTAATAAAATGTCCTAAACATTACATACGAATGCAATGAGATCGCAGTAAACAGGTGATATCACAATATGCAGAACAACCACTGTGAAAAGAATAGTGAACTTCTCAGTGCTTTCGTGATTTCTCCTTTCACAGTAGTTGTTCTGCACATTAATGTGAATCTTTGATTTCTCATTCTAAGGATGCTCTAAAGCTCTAAATGCATATCTAAGCTAAATGTTGGTTGTTTTCCAGATGATAAGATCATACATGTGCGTCGTCGAATGAGCAGCACATGCTCAGAAGATGGCACATCTGTTGCACAAGAAATTGATTATGATGGTGATGGTGAAGATAGCATTTATTATTCCTCTACAGAGAACCTTCATCTTAAGGTGAATTTTATAGATGATGAATAAATTATTTTAATTTGCATTTGAAAGAGTTGTCAGAATTTTTGTTAGCTTTAGAGGTTATACGTATTATTATTTTCATTCAAGTATTTGGCATATTTTAATTAAAAGTTAGTACTCCATTAGTGTAACATGTATTTTGTTGGCTATGATAAAGACAGTGTAAATTTAAATACTGAAATTAATCTCAGGAAAGCACTAAAGAGTGGGAAGCAAAAAACTAAAGGCATTTTTGTAAAAAGCATATTTCTACATCTCTGAGGTCCTTCACAGGGTGCCTTGATATCTGTGAAGGGCTCTTATTCTTGTATTGAATCTGATTGTACCATTTCCCATGCACTGTATGACCACTACAGGTTTATCAATCCCTCTCATGAATGTACACTAATAATAAAAATATAGTTCTAAAAGAAGAAATCACAAATTAGTTACTGGGTGTTGCAAGATTTATTGCAAGGAATGTAGCATCACGTTCATATAACAACTGATTTTGGTCGAAAGAGTAGGTGTATGGCTTATAGTGCGGCACAAATTGAAAAGTTTCCTAAAATGTACCTGGGTAGAATCATGAATAGAAAAAATAGTTACAAAAAGTGACTTTAATCTATATTTAACCCCTTCACTGTCAAGACCCTCAAAATTAAAATTACTTTGTGTCCAAATATAATTTTTTTCTTAAATTGCATTTTGTGTGTGTGTGTGTGTGTGTGTGTGTGTGCGCGTACATACATACGTACTCACCTAATTGTGGTTGCAGGGGTCGAGACTCAGCTCCTGGCCCTGCCTCTTCACTGATTGCTACTAGGTCCTCTCTCTCTCTGCTTCCTGAGCTTTATCATACCTCTTCTTTAAACTATGTATGGTTCCTGCCTCCACTACTTCACTTGCCACGTCCCTGTGGCTTGTCTGAGTCTTTAGCTTCCAGTTGTGACCCCTTGTTTCTGTGTCCCCTCTCTGGAACATCCTATCTCTGTCCACCTTGTCTATTCCCTGCAGTATCTTGTATGTTATTATCATGTCTCCCCTGGCCCTTCTGTCCTCCAGTGTCGTCAGTCCGATTTCCCTCAACCTTTCATCGTATGACATTCCTCTGAGCTCTGGGACTAGCCTTGTTGGAAACCTTTGTACTTTCTCTAACTTATTGACGTGCTTGACCAGGTGTGGGTTCCAGACTGGTGCTGCATACTCCAGTATGGGCCTAATGTACACAGTGTACAGTGTCTTGAACGATTCCTTATTAAGGTATCTGAACGCTATTCTCAGGTTTGCCAGGCGCCCGCATGCTGCAGCAGTTATTTGGTTGATGTGTGCCTCCGGTGACGTGCTCGGTGTTATGGTCACCCCAAGGTCTTTCTCCCTGAGTGAGGTCTGTAGTCTTTGTCCACCTAGCCTATACTCTGTCTGCGGTCTTCTTTGCCCCTCCCCAATCTTCATGGCTTTGCATTTGGCAGGGGTGAATTCGAGAAGCCAGTTTCTGGACCACATGTCCAGCCTGTCCAGGTCTCTTTGCAGTCCTGCCTCATCCTCATCCAATTTAATTCTTCTCATTAACTTCACATCATCTGCGAATAGGGACACTTCAGAGTCTATTCCTTCAATCGTGTCGTTCGCATATATCAAAAATAGCACTGGTCCTAGAACTGACCCCTGTGGGACCCCGCTCGTCACAGGCGCCCACTGTGATACCTCTTAACGTACCATAACTCGTTGTTGCCTCCTTGTCAGGTATTCCCTGATCCATTGCAGTGCCCTCCCTGTTATATGCACCTGATACTCCAGCTTCTGCACTAATCTCTTGTGGGGAACTGTGTCAAAGGCCTTCCTGCAGTCTAGGAAAATGCAATCAACCCACCCCTCTCTCTCGTGTCTTACTTCTGTTACCTTGTCATAAAACTCCAGAAGGTTTGTGACACAGGATTTGCCTTCCATGAACCCATGCTGGTTTTCATTTATAATCTTGTTCCGTTCCAGGTGTTCCACCACTCTCCTCCTGATAATCTTCTCCATGACTTTGCACACAATACATGTCAGAGACACAGGTCTGTAGTTTAGTGCCTCATTTCTGTTTCCTTTCTTAAATATGGGGACTACATTTGCTGTCTTCCATTTCTCAGGTAGTTGCCCAGTTTCAAGGGATGTGTTGAAGATTGTGGTTAGGGGCACGCACAGCATCTCTGCTCCTTCTCTAAGGACCCACGGGGAGATGTTGTCCGGTCCCATCGCCTGTGTGTGTGTGTGTGTGTGTGTGTGTATGTGTACTCACCTAGTTGTACTTAACTAGTTGAGGTTGCAGGGGTCGAGTCCGAGCTCCTGGCCCCGCCTCTTCACTGATCGCTACTAGGTCACTCTCCCTGAACCGTGAGCTTTATCATACCTCTGCTTAAAGTTATATATGGATCCTGCCTCCACTACATCGCTTCCCAAACTATTCCACTTACTGACTACTCTGTGGCTGAAGAAATACTTCCTAACATCCCTGTGATTCATCTGTGTCTTCAACTTCCAACTGTGTCCCCTTGTTACTGTGTCCAATCTCTGGAACATCCTGTCTTTGTCTACCTTGTCAATTCCTCTCAGTATTTTGTATGTCGTTATCATGTCCCCCCTATCTCTCCTGTCCTCCAGTGTCGTGTGTGCGTGTGCGCATGCATGTGCGTGCATGTGTGTACACACGTACATGTACTCACCTAGTTGAGGTTGCAGGGGTCGAGTCCAAGCTCCTGGCCCCGCCTCTTCACTGGTCGCTACTAGGTCACTCTCTCTGAACCTTGAGCTTTATCATACCTCTGCTTAAAGCTATGTATGGATCCTGCCTCCACTACATCACTTCCCAAACTATTCCACTTCCTGACTACTCTGTGACTGAAGAAATACTTCCTAACATCCCTGTGATTCATCTGTGTCTTCAACTTCCAACTGTGTCCTCTTGTTGCTGTGTCCCATCTCTGGAACATCCTGTCTTTGTCCACCTTGTCAATTCCTCTCAGTATTTTGTATGTTATCATGTCTCCCCTATCTCTCCTGTCCTCCAGTGTCATCAGGTTGATTTCCCCTAACTTCTCCTCGTAGGACATACCTCTTAGCTCTGGGACTAGTCTTGTTGCAAACCTTTGCACTTTCTCTAGTTTCTTTACGTGCTTGGCTAGGTGTGGGTTCCAAACTGGTGCCGCATACTCCAATATGGGCCTAATGTACACGGTGTACAGGGTCCTGAACGATTCCTTATTGAGATGTCGGAATGCTGTTCTGAGGTTTGCTAGGCGCCCATATGCTGCAGCAGTTATTTGGTTGATGTGCGCTTCAGGAGATGTACCTGGTGTTATACTCACCCCAAGATCTTGTGTGTGTGTGTGAGTGAGAGTGAGTGAGAGTGAGTGAGAGTGAGTGAGAGTGAGTGAGAGTGAGTGAGAGTGAGTGAGAGTGAGTGAGAGTGAGTGAGAGTGAGTGAGAGTGAGTGAGAGTGAGAGAGAGTGAGAGAGAGAGTGAGAGTGAGTGAGAGCGAGAGAGAGCGAGAGAGAGCGAGAGTGAGAGAGAGTGAGAGAGAGAGAGAGAGAGAGAGAGAGAGAGAGAGAGAGAGAGAGAGAGGAGAGAGAGAGAGAGAGAGAGAGAGAATGAGAGAGTGAGAGAGAATGAGAGTGAGTGAGAGAGAATGGGAGAGTGAGTGAGAGAGAGAGAGTGAGAGAATGAGAGAGTGAGAGAGAATGAGAGTGAGTGAGAGAATGAGAGAGTGAGAGAGAATGAGAGTGTGAGAGAGAATGAGTGAGTGAGAGAGAATGAGAGAGTGAGAGAGAATGAGAGAGTGAGTGAGAGAGAATGAGAGAGTGAGTGAGAGAGAATGAGAATGAGAGTGAGAATGAGAGAGAATGAGTGAGAGAGAATGAGTGAGAGAGAATGAGAGAGAGAGACGGACGGACGGACGGACACCAAAAGTATGAAATTTGATAGAAAAACTTATGGAATTACACAGGTGCAAAGTTAGTGGTATGGCCGCTGTTGATACGTTATTCAGTTCGTTTAGATGTTTAGCTCTTTCGCTAATGTGCTTTCTGTTCTATTGTTTGAGCACAAGAAACTGCTCACTCAACTACCAGAACTACACTAAAGTGTGCAGAATTTGATCAGTTCTAGACAATATTAAAAAATTCCAGTTTAAAAAGTGTCCAGAATAAACACTGTAGACATTCCAAGCACTAAAACAATCTTACCTATGTTCATTAATCACATCCCCTGGCCTCTCCTATATTACATTTGCCTTTCATTTTGAGTTCATCCTCACACACAAAAAATCAAGAGATTTTCTCTATTTCTTGGATAATAAAATATAACCAGGAATAGGTGGTCATGGTTTACAGATTCCCAATAATTGATTAGACCTAGTAAAAGCCAATAAAACAAAACAGGGGCATAGAGGGAGGCCTTGCCTGTCCTCAGGATAACTGGCAAAAATTGAATATTTCTGCCACTTTGAGTCCAATTTCAAGCTATATCCATTCCTGAAATGCACCAAATCATCTTTATTTCAGAAGTATATTTTCCATTCTATCAAATGATACCAAAAGACACCCAATAAAGCTATAAAAACCATCTTAAAAAACACCTCAAAGTTGCTATTTTAAACCAAACACAAGGTCAGTGTTTTGCTTTTTCCATCATGCATGAGGCAGGATTTGTTTTTTATACTTTGCACACTCGCCACACAGACCCATTCTCTCATTTTTTTTATTTTTTCAATAAATCAGCCGTCTTCCACCGAGGCAGGGTGACCCAAAAAGAAAGAAAATCCCCAAAAAGAAAATACTTTCATCATCATTCAACACTTTCACCTCACTCATACATAATCACTGTCTTTGCAGAGGTGCCCTGATACAACAGTTTAGAAGCATATACATGTATAAACATGTATAACATGTCCCTCCAAACTGCCAATATCTAGGCCAAAATTTACCCCTCACAGCATATCTGAGGAAGCTGAACTCAAAATGTAGATCTGCATGAGGGACCCTAGCATCAGTAATGTAGATCTATGTGAGGAACAGTGAAAGGGTTAATAGAAGGGCCAAAGTAACCTTAAGATTTGGAACGAAATCTTTTTCAGCAGAAATGTTAAATCACATTTTTCAAATTGTCTTCACTTAAAAACTTGCATTATCCTATTATCTCCAGTCATTTATACTTTATATGTCACCTGTATGAATGCTGTATGTACAAATTTTTCAGAATGGTAAATTTAAGATTGACAAAGCAGAGAAAGCAAATCGAAAGCAACGAAAATCTAGCTCAATTCGCAAGGCAGCATTCAAAGAAATAGAAGGAAAAAAAAAAGAATTAAAGAAAGTTGAAACGGTTCCACCTGTGCGGCAAAATTGTACTATAAAAGTGAAATACACACCCAGGGCCTTCCAAACGCCATGCCGAGAATCTACTCATACAGATGAACAGCAGGTGAGAAGTATTGTAGAGCAAGTATTGATGGTTTCTGAAGACAGGAAAACAGATGCAAGTACAGTACGTAGAGGGAAGATTATATTTTATTGGAGAAATAATGTGGGGAAATTTACAAGACTGTGTACAGTATACATAAAGTAAAAAATAAAAGTAATCAGAAAACTAATTTGTCATTAATTTGATATTTAATGTTTCTTATTGAATATCTTTTAACTGTACAGTACAGTTAAGCCATTGTAGTACATGATATTATCTGCTTGTATTTGGATCAAGATTTTCCAAGCAATATTATTTTCTTCCTGTAATTTAATAATATTGTCGACAATAAAGCAGAAAAGGCAGAGGTGCAGAACAAACTTTTCTTGTGACTGTTTTTTGCTCTATATAGAGCTTTGTCAAGTGCCTGACTTTATCACTCGTGAAGTTGTAATAACACGATTGCAAACAGACCATGGACAAGTGGTGTTGGAACTCTTGGTGAGCGAGTCGTAAAACTCCCAGTTAGTGCATAAGCCATTCAGCCAGTTGGCCACAATAAGATGGCCTGGAGTTTTAAGACTCGCTCACTGACTTTGTAAAGCTCTGCGTAGTGAAATGTCATAATAAAAACTTGCTCTGCACCTGTCTGTTTTTTTTTTTTTTTTTTTTTTCACTCTCCTAGGTTTCTTCCTCTTGAGCTATGACTTAATGATTCTGAAGACTAGCAAGAAAATTGATACAGTGGAGCCCTGTATTTTCCAGGCTTTAATTATCAGCCTTGCATACTGGAGGATGTTGAACCGGCTCTTTCAAATTTCTTAAGAGTTAGGTCAGAGTCAGAGGTCACTTTAAAACACTTTTGAAATAGAGCTTTTGCATAAAGTCTTAAAATTTGTTGTGATTCCAGAAAAATGTTCAAAGACTTGGTCAATTTTTTCTGAACAAAATTGTTCAGACTGGTTTATTCAAGGTCTGGTATGTTTGAACACCAGTTTTCCACTCTATAAGTTTAGCGTTGCTGTATATTTAAATATTGTTGGAAATAAGCCATTATGGCTGAATTATTTATAAACCTGAAGTCATTTCAAAATGCTATTTCTCACTAACAAAGAAAATCAATTTATTATTTTTTGAGTTTTGGTACTTTTCTTTGTTATTTATGGCTTTGACTATTTATAAAAAAAATAATTTTCATTGCTCCTGTGGAGATTGCATACTTCATGTTATGATGTACAATATATTACTTAAACTCTGAACTTTAAAAATTGTTTTTTACAGTGGCTCTCCTCTCAGTCTAGTAGCTCTTCATCTGTAAAGGACAGCACCTTGGAACACAGTGAAGAATACTACAAGGATAAATCAGTGTAAGATTTCACTTTTTTTTCTTGAAGAAACACAAAACAATTGCATGTTTATTAAATTTTTTGTTTTGCTTGTGTCTTTTTTTTCTCTCCTTTTCTCTTATGTCTCTTTCCTACTGTGGATATATGCATGTGAGCCTTTAATTTTTTAATACTGTATATGAATTTTTATTTTTTCTGAAGATGCAAAGAATTATTTTATGTTTTTCCAGGTCTTTGTTTGGCAGTGGAGATTATTGTGGGTGTGTAAATGCATGTACAGAAGCTTTGAAACTCAACCCAACATTACCATCATTGTACAGCAATCGAGCAGCTGCTAATTTGGCACTAAATAATTTACATCACACAATCAGTGATTGTGCAAAGGTTAGTGCCTATTACAACTTAATGTGTTTTCTTATAGTGGACTGAATGCCTGATGTAGAGTTTCACTTCCTATTAATTTTTATATTAAAATAATATTGTAAACTGTCACATTGTATTGATGTTTTCTTTGAGTTTTTATTAAAAGTTATACTTATGATGATAGTAATTAATAGGCTATGTGGAGTAAAATAAAGATTGGATGTGAAAAGTGGGTTATAGTAAGCGTGTATGCACCTGGAGAAGAGAGAAGTGTAGAGGAGAGAGAGAGATTCTGGGAAATGTTGAGTGAATGCGTGGGGAGTTTTGAATCAAGTGTGAGAGTAATGGTGGTTGGGGATTTCAATGCTAAAGTGGGTAAAAATGTTATGGAAGGAGTAGTAGGTAAATTTGGGGTGCCAGGGGAAATGTAAATGGGGAGCCTTTAATTGAGCTATGTGTAGAAAGAAATTTGGTAATAAGTAATACATATTTTATGAAAAAGAGGATAAATAAATATACAAGGTATGATGTAGCACGTAATGAAAGTAGTTTGTTATATTATGTATTGGTGGATAAAAGGTTGATGGGTAGGCTCCAGGATGTACATGTTTATAGAGGGGCAACTGATATATCGGATCATTATTAAGTTGTAGCTACAGTTAGAGTAAGAGGTAGATGGGAAAAGAGGAAGGTGGCAACAACAAGTAAGAGGGAGGTGAAAGTGTATAAACTAAGGGAGGAGGAAGTTCGGGTGAGATATAAGCAACTATTGGCAGAAAGGTGGGCTAGTGCAAAGATGAGTAGTGGGGGGGGGTTGGAATAGTTTTAAAAATGCAGTATTAGAATGTGGGGCAGAAGTTTGTGGTTATAGGAGGGTGGGGGCAGGAGGAAAGAGGAGTGATTGGTGGAATGATGAAGTAAAGGGTGTGATAAAAGAGAAAAAGGTAGCTTACGAGAGGTTTTTACAAAGCAGAAGTGTTATAAGAAGAGCAGAGTATATGGAGAGTAAAAGAAAGGTGAAGAGAGTGGTGAGAGAGTGCAAAAGGAGAGCAGATGAAAGAGTGGGAGAGGCACTGTCAAGAAATTTTAATGAAAATAAGAAAAAATTTTGGAGTGAGTTAAACAAGTTAAGAAAGCCTAGGGAAAGTATGGATTTGTCAGTTATAAACAGAGTAGGGGAGTTAGTAGATGGGGAGAGGGAGGTATTAGGTAGATGGCAAGAATATTTTGAGGAACTTTTAAATGTTGAGGAAGAAAGGGAGGTGGTAATTTCATGCACTGGCCAGGGAGGTATACCATCTTTTAGGAGTGAAGAAGAGCAGAATGTAAGTGTGGTGGAGGTACGTGAGGCATTACGTAGAATGAAAAGGGGTAAAGCAGCTGGAACTGATGGGACCATGACAGAAATGTTAAAAGCAGGGGGGGATATAGTGTTGGAGTGGTTGGTACTTTTGTTTAATAAATGTATGAAAGAGGGGAAGGTACCTAGGGATTGGCGGAGAGCATGTATAGTCCCTTTATATAAAGGGAAAGGGGACAAAAGAGATTGTAAAAATTATAGAGGAATAAGTTTACTGAGTATACCAGGAAAAGTATACAGTAGGGTTATAATTGAAAGAATTAGAGGTAAGACAGAATGTAGAATTGCGGATGAGCAGGGAGGCTTCAGAGTGGGTAGGGGATGTGTAGATCAAGTGTTTACATTGAAGCATATATGTGAACAGTATTTAGATAAAGGTAGGGAAGTTTTTATTGCATTTATGGATTTAGAAAAGGCATATGATAGAGTGGATAGAGGAGCAATGTGGGAGATGTTGCAAGTATATGGAATAGGTGGTAAGTTACTAAATGCTGTAAAGAGCTTTTATGAGGATAGTGAGGCTCAGGTTAGGGTATGTAGAAGAGAGGGAGAATACTTCCCGGTAAAAGTAGGTCTTAGACAGGGATGTGTAATGTCACCATGGTTGTTTAATATATTTATAGATGGGGTTGTAAAAGAAGTAAATGCTAGGGTGTTCGGGAGAGGGGTGGGATTAAATTATGGGGAATCAAATTCAAAATAGGAACTGACACAGTTACTTTTTGCTGATGATACTGTGCTAATGGGAGATTCTAAAGAAAAATTGCAAAGGTTAGTGGATGAGTTTGAGAATGTGTGTAAAGGTATTATTATTATTATTATTATAATCAAGGGGAAGCGCTAAACCCGGAGGATTATACAGTGCCTGGGAGGGATGTGGAAGGCATTCAGGCTTAATTCGAGGAACTGGAGCACAGATCCAGTTCCCTAAATCAAGAGCCCCTCACCAACATCAAGGAACCTTCCTTGAGGGGTGTGTAAAGGTAGAAAGTTGAAAGTGAACATAGAAAAGAGTAAGGTGATGAGGGTATCAAATGATTTAGATAAAGAAAAATTGGATATCAAATTGGGGAGGAGGAGTATGGAAGAAGTGAACGTTTTCAGATACTTGGGAGTTGACGTGTCGGCAGATGGGTTTATGAAGGATGAGGTTAATCATAGAATTGATGAGGGAAAAAAGGTGAGTGGTGCGTTGAGGTATATGTGGAGTCAAAAAACGTTATCTATGGAGGCAAAGAAGGGAATGTATGAAAGTATAGTAGTACCAACACTCTTATATGGATGTGAACCTTGGGTGGTAAATGCAGCAGTGAGGAGATGGTTGGAGGCAGTGGAATGTCCTGTCTAAGGGCAATGTGTGGTGTAAATATTATGCAGAAAATTCGGAGTGTGGAAATTAGGAGAAGGTGTGGAGTTAATAAAAGCATTAGTCAGAGGGCAGAAGAGGGGTTGTTGAGGTGGTTTGGTCATTTAGAGAGAATGGATCAAAGTAGAATGACATGGAAAGCATATAAATCTATAGGGAAAGGAAGGAGGGGTAGGGGTCGTCCTCAAAAGGGTTGGAAAGAGGGGGTAAAGGAGGTTTTGTGGGCAAAGGGCTTGGACTTCCAGCAAGCGTGCATGAGCGTGTTAGATAGGAGTGAATGGAGACGAATGATACTTGGGACCTGACGATCTGTTGGAGTGTGAGCAGGGTAATATTTAGTGAAGGGATTTAGGGAAACCGGTTATTTTCATATAGTCGGACTTGAGTCCTGGAAATGGGAAGTACAATGCCTGCACTTTAAAGGAGGGGTTTGGGATATTGGCAGTTTGGAGGGATATGTTGTGTATCTTTATATGTATATGCTTCTAAACTGTTGTATTCTGAGCACCTCTGCAAAAGCAGTGATAATGTGTGAGTGTGGTGAAAGTGTTGAATGATGATGAAAGTATTTTCTTTTTGGGGATTTTCTTTCTTTTTTGAGTCACCCTGCCTCGGTGGGAGATGGCCGACTTGTTGAAAAAAAAAAAAAAAAGCTCGTGCGTGTGCTTGTGTGCACATAGCTTGAAGATACTATATGCCTTTTTCTTTTTTCTCCACTCTGTATTCTGCATTAAAATTAAATCTTTTTCATAATTTAAAAAATCATGTACTTGCCTATTTGTAGTTGCAGGGGTTGATTATCAGATCCTGGCCCCCCACCTTTTAACTTGGCACTCCAGATTCACTCCCTCTTAACCTCGTAGGCCCTATCGTATATGCCCTTAAAACTATATATGGCACCTGTGTATTCTGACCTTTGTTGACAAAATCAAGGTTCAGTATCTATATCAAATGTATAGATAGTCTTTGGCTAGTATTCTAAATATATTTTGCTCAGTGGGGATTTTAGTTCATGTGGGAAGACATTTACTGTATGGTTAAGAGATTTCAATAAACATTATTACCTCTTGCAGGCCCTTGAATTACTGACTCCTCCAACACAAGACAATGGGAAATCACGCTTACTTTGTCATATCCGTCGAGGCACAGCATTTGTTCGCCTTGGTCTTTTGTCTGAGGGTTTAGCTGACTATCAGGCAGCTCAACAAATAAGTCCAGAGAATAAGACTCTACAAAAAGATGTGGAAAGGATACAGTCTTTGTTGGCGAATTCAACAGACTCGGAAGATTCAGATGGTGACAGTGGCTGTGATGATGGTGTTGGTACATGAAAACTGCAGCTTTGGTTGTTCACTCATCCTTTCTAAAAAAAATTTGTAAATTACTGCTTTTGAATAATGATTATGAATGCTGTGACTGCTTTTACTGCAAAGTATTTTCTTAGATAATGCTAGCTATGTTTTTCATTTTATACCCCTTTTTTTAACTTGCCTATTGTATATAAAGATCCTCTACCTCATAGGTTTTTATATTATTAATAGACTATGTTCTTCCCATATACTTTTAACTATAAAATATTTTAATTTATAAATATCCAACAACAGTGCAGAATATGATTATGTATAGGCAAATTAACAGCTTCTATAATCTGGCAACAAATTTCCAGCTTGCAAACTGTGGTACAGTATTAAGAAAAAAAATTCTGTTGATTATGCTATTTATAGCTAGGTCATTGGCACATAGTCATCTTGAAGTAAATAATGTTAACACTGTAGTGCATCTCTGTACAGCAAAGTGTCCAGAAGGTACCTTTACCCATGTTTTCTATATTCAACATTTTAAAAGTACAATTTGTATGTCTTCTTCTTTCAACAAACTGGCTATATTTCACCGAGGCAGGGTGGCCCAAAAAGAAAAACAAAAATTTTATGTATGAAAAAAAAAAATGGACATCCTCTTCATCATTAAGCATTAGTATCAGTTAGAAGTTTTAATCAGCACTAGCACTGGATATCTATGAATTATTCTGGATATTTTTTCCCCACAGCCTAGTCTTGAACCAGGCCTCAGCATGGAATGGGAAATATTACAAGAAAATAGGACTATTAGAAACATGCAAGAAAATAAACCTAGGTATATACGGAATGTAAGAAGTGTTTGTAAGATTTTTCCTTCCATCTTGTCCATAATTGAAAAACAGACCATTAATCCTGCAAAAATGTAAAATGTAGACTTCTGTTTCACACTCATGATAGGATATTGGGGGCAAAGGTACTTTAGTTCACCCTGGTTTTGTACTTTACTAATGGGCTATTAAATTGAGTACAGTACTACATTTTATTGATTCCTAGTAAAAAAAAAAGCACATACAGTTGTTTATTGCTTTACTGAATTTAACAATTAATAAGTCATTATTCTTTTAAAAGTAATGGAAACTAGTTTCAGTAGAGTATTACACACAAAAATAAATTTTCTTTATTGAATATGAGCTTCCATAATTTATAATACCTGTACTATAATATGTCCAAAATAGAAAATGTCATCCAGCTATATAAGTTTTAAGATGTACTCTTAATATATACTTTATTTTCAGTCTTTGATAAAACTTGTATTTCTCAATAATGCTGCTACTATAGTTATGGAAGCAGTACACTTAGAAAGGTGCTCCATCTTCCAATGATGAATCATATTCCAGGCTGGATTCAAATCACAACTTATGTTTAAAATGCTCTTTTTACCAGTTTTATTGCACACTGTGACCCAATGAGTTTAGCACTTTGCCATAAATAAAATAATACAGATTTTATTTAAACTACAAGTTTATTTCTATTTTTTTAATGTTTTCTTTACTTTTTATAGCATTTAGGGGTAATTTGCTTTAATCTGTTTCACTACCAAACCAGAATATGGAATTACATGTCTTTAATTTATTAATGAATGATGCACAAAGCATTACATGTTTTTCAATAATTTATTAATTAATAATGAGTTTCTTGCTGATATAAATTTACAAAAGTACAGTATGTATCAAACTTTAATACAGGAAATGGTAATATAATGTCAAGTACTATTTATTAGTTTTGTTATTTGTCATGAATCTTTCTCCATTTTTGATGCCTTGCTTCTCTAGAACATCCACATTTTTGGAGGGTGTGGTCGCAGATAACTTTCTTCGTATATAGTTATATATATACGTGCAATATGCTTAACAATTCACAAATGGGCAAAATTATATACAAACACTATCAGTCCACAGCAGGATTCGAACTTACACATCCTGCATCAAAGTACTCAGTACCTTAGCACCACAGCCAGATCCCAGATCTGGCTGTATGACTAAAGCACTGCATACTTTGATGCAGAGCGTGCAGGTTTGAATCCTGCTGGGAACTGAGAGGTAATATTTATATATGCAATATATTTTTGAGTTATATATATTGTATTACCAGAAAAGAAATAGGCAGATAAGGTATAGTTATTTGATCTATTAGAAATTGTAAAACATGTATACTTTTTCACTATGTAGTGTTTAAGCTTATCATTTTAATGAAAAAATTATTACATAAATTTTTGCATTTTTTTTTACCTCAATTGGGTAATCCCAAAAAATTACACATATTTGCCATCATTCATTTAACCATTGTCTTGCCAAGTGTGTGCTAACATCACAATTTATATTGCCCTCCAACTACATTATCCCTACTCCTCCTTCAGAGTGCAGTTACTGCCCTTCCCACTTCCAGGGCCAAAGTCCAGCAAACCAGTTTTCCTGAATCCCTTCATAAACGTTACCTTGTTCACACTCCAACAGCAAGTCCATTAAAACTACTATATTTGTTTCGATTCACATCTAACACAAGCCCCAGATGCTGTAATTGAAAAGTGATAGCCTGCCAGTAGAGAGATTACATATATAGTATTACATGACAAAACAACATATTTTTCATAATGATTCAATATAAAAAAACACCCCTCCACAAGATAGGAAATGGGTTGGCATGAGATTTTTTAATTCTTTCTAGACTGAAGATGAGTTTCTAGCAACTTCACAAAATTATTCCCAGCCACTTTCCTTTCCTTAGCAATGTTTTTGGTGTACAATGTTACATAATGTGCTTATATTATATTTGTGGATTGATAAATGTAGTCTATCTAGCCTAAACAATATCTCATTTTTCTGAAGAGTTTCAATATAAATTATATATTTAGCAGTTAAAAAAAGTTTATATTACGCACAACTCACTATACAGTACTTTATATCTTTATGCATTTAATACATTACAGAACTGCTCTTATTAAAGTGTGATTTTATGAGAATCTTTATTTAATTTCTAAGATATGGAGAAGAATACTGGTATTTTTTGTATGACATGTTGTAACCTTGTTTTGCTTATGAATGTTATAATTTTAATATAAAATAAATATTAAAACATCATGAATTTTAACCAACTATACAGCACATAGTTTAATTAATTTTTAATTGATTTACAGTACTGTATTTTAGTGTTTGGTTATGATTATAGTAATAATACAGTATTTTTAAGACTTGCCAGTAAATTGGAGAGTAATAGATCATTTGATTATGGTCTTAGATTTGCCAAGTGAATAAATAAAAGGGGGTACAAATTAAATTTATATAAAGGGTATCCTCAAAGCTCTCTTCTGTTTTTCAATATTTGCTTTAAACAAAATAACGGATATGAAAATTCAGTTTTCTACTTATGATAGCCAAACCAATAGATTTTATATAAAGCTTCATATTGTCTGTCTGATCTATGCAACCTTGATTCCAGTGAACTCCTGATCCAGGAAAGTAAACCTGTTGTCTTCTTGGGTTGAACCTGATTGCCCCCATCATCTTGTGCAGTATATCACATTGGTTTAGTATTTGCCCAATTATTATATTAAAAATTGGCCCATAACATGTCTAATTGATACTCCAGGTCTTTCATATTGGTCATCAACATATCCAGTGTAACTTTTCTGATCCCTTCACTTATTCTAGCACACAATGTTCTAATGTTGAGTACTAGTATATGTAAAGCATAATCTGTCCTGAACCCTGACAAAAAAGAAAAGAAAAAAGCTAGTACAGAATTAGGAGGTGGGGGTGGATTTGATGAAGCTATCATGCCCTAACCCTCTGCCAGGGCATTTAATGTTATGCTACTGTGTGCAGAGCACTGTATATTTGTCTTTTAACACATTGCTGTAATAAATTTTTGAAATCAGAAAAGGACTGTATGGACACTATGAGTATGGCTCTGCTCCTCTAGCTACAAACAGGCAATTACCAAGAACTGCAAAGTTGTACTCATAACTGAACATTTGCTAGATTGCTCAGTGTCAGAATGTGTGCTGATTGACTGCTTTCACCCTTTCCTTCAATCCTTGATTACTCTGTCTTCCTCTTAAAATCTCATCTTCAAAACATTTTGTCTCTGATCTATACACTTTGAATGTAATTTAGATTTCCGAGTGTGTCAATGCATTATTACATTCATGATGGGTTTAGTACATTTTTTAAAACATTCATGGGTAGGGGGGTCATACAGCACCTAGGGAATGGTAAGCAAAAAAGATACAATATATGAAAGTGAAAGGTAGCTCAAGTTTGTTGAATCAAAAGCTCTTCAGTTCTTTAATTCTGCTTTTTAACTGTTCCATGCAATATTAGCTATGCAGCATTTAATTAAAACACTAAAATTTAGATCTTCATGAATAATAAATTGCAACAGAAATTGTTTAACTGGAAAGACAGTTAAACGCCAGTTTCCCACTAAGGCAGGATGACCCAAAAAGTCAACAGGCAAATACAGATGTATATGTAGTACTTATTATTTCATATACAGTACCTTCTCATCATAAATTATTTTATGAAAAGCTGTCTGATGTAGCTAACATTATTTTATAATGACTGCATTTTATGAAGACCTCTTTAACACTTAACTTTATAAATGGTGACAAAAGTGCATTGTCATCTATACGCAAGGCAAATTATTACTATGTATAAAAGTTAATTAAGGTCTACCATTATCACAGGCATTCACAAAAAGGATAAATGTAAGCATCATCTCACAGCTATATTTCAGAGTTGTATAGTGTACTGCTCACCCCACACAGGCAAAGCGCTTTATGAATGTACCAGGGGAAGCAGTGTCACAACGTGGCGACTTATAAGAACAATATGGTTTAGTAAGAAAACTTCCACATAAGCCATAAATGTATTTAGGAATTAACTATTATTAATATGCACATTTATTAACAAAAGTCAACATGCTCTACACACAATTATGACAGGAAAAGAACATTAACTGCCATAAAAATACAAGCTGCAGCAACCCATGGGCTTTTTCTTTCCCCTATTCTTGCCATCTTCCAGAATGTTCCTACAAGTCTGTAAGAAAAAAAAGATAGACCATGAAAAGTTAGAAAATCTTAAATATGGTATTATTACAGTACATTATACTGTTTATACAATAATAATAATCAAAATGAAGTGCTAAATTTGAACTGGTCATGCAATGTAAATGTGTAAATAATTGGTTTACACAAATAAAAGGCACTCACATTCTGTTAAATAATTAAGGCAAAGCAGGCTATTCTAAAATTTACTTTTCGTCTGACTACCTAACTTGCTGTGCAATAGTACATTTCAATGAACAACAGTACTGAATGACTTGCACAGGTTTACAACTTTTCATTTTTATAAATCCCCTAAACTGAGGTGCCTTAGTCCCAGTGCAAAGCTCTTTATTCAGTGTTGGACATTTCCTCCCTTTCCATGGATCAAACCCCTTGAGGAGGAAGTGGCTCTTGTTCCAAGAAAATGAACATGACTTTGCTTTCCTTAGATTGAACCTGACTGCCTCCCATTTTCGAAGATACTATATGACCCCTCTTTTTCTTCACTGGATTGAACCTGAATGCCTTCATTCCCTATATGGTTTTTAGCATTTCCCCATGATATAAAAAGAAAATATGACTCCTATGGGTGTGATGATCCCCCCATGAACGTAAAAATAACTTGGATCAAGCTCATTTCCCTCATACTATGACCCCTATGGGTTTACTGTTTCCCTATAATAATACAGTGGAACCTCAAGTTTCGGCTGTAATCCGTTCCAGAAGCTCAGAAGAAACTCAAATTGTTCAAAAGTCAAAGCAAAATTTCCCATAAAAAATAATGTAAATCCAATTAATCCGTTCCAGACACCCAAAAATATTAAAAAAAAAAAAAGAATAACTATAGTTTTACAAACACAAAACAATTACAAAATACATACAGTACTTAAATGACTAATGAGATAGATAAAGAAACATGTAAAATTACATTACATACCTTTATTGATGGCATATGGAAGACAGGGAGGACTTACTGTTTGGAAGGGGAATCCCCTTCTATAAAGACTTTAGGTACCAAGTGCTTACCCGGGGTTACTTCCCTTCTTTGTTTTTTAATGGCACTAGGACCAGCTTAAGAGTCACTGGACCCCTGTCGCAAAAAAAAAAAAAAAAAAATGTCCAGAGAGGTCCATTTCTGGCATCTTTAGCATTTGTCTAAAGTGGGACGTGGTTTTGTCACTGAACATGTTGCAGAGATGGCTTGTTTCAACTTGCTCAGGGTGATATTTCTCAGTAAAAGCTTGCACCCTACTCCACATGCACAAATCTCCTTAATCTTTGAAGAAGGCACCTCCTTCCCTCTCTCTTCCTCCTCCTCTGAAGCAAGTTCCTCAGCTGTGGTCTGATGTTGTTCCAGATGAAGCTCTTGCAGCTCTCCAGTGGTTAGCCCTTCCCCGTAGTCCTCCACCAACTCTTCCACATCCTGGCCACTCACCTCCAACCCCATGGACATCCCCAGAGACAATAGATTCCACAACAGGCGTATGGTCGACAGGGTCAGCCTCAAACCCTTCAAGATCCTTCCTTCTCTTGGACACATTCTGGCCACAATTTTCTCCAAGCAGAGTTCAAAGTCCTAGAAGTCACTCCCTGCCAAGCCTTACCTATAAGGTTCATGCAGTTGTAGATATTGAAGTGATTCCTCCAGAACTCTTTTAGGGTCAATTCAGTGTCCGAGGTCACTTCAAAGCACCTTTGAAACACTGCTTTCGTGTAGTTTTATGAAGTTTGAAATGACCTGCTGGTCCATGGGCTGGATGAGAGGAGTGGTGTTAGGAGGCAAGAACTTCACTGTTATAAAACTGAAGTCCACAGACAATTGGTCTACCAAGTTTGGAAGACGACCAAAAGCATTCTCCAGTACCAGGAGGCACTCGAGTGGCAATTTATTTTCCTGGAGGTATTTTTTCACACTCGGGCCAAACACTTCATGAATCTAGTCAAAGAAAATATGCCTTGTGACTCATGCCTTATTGTTAGCCCTCCACATCACACACAATCTACTCTTGATGACACTGTTTTTCTTGAACACTCTGAGATTTTCAGAGTGATACACCAGTTAAGGCTTCACTTTGAAATCCTCACTAGCGTTAGCACAGAACAAAAGAGTTAGCCTATCCTTCATAGGCTTGTGTCCTGGCAGTGCCTTTTCCTCCTGCATAATGTAGGTCCTCTTGGGCGTTTTCTTCCAAAAGAGGCCTGTTTCGTCACAAGTGAACTTGTGTTTGGGGACGAATCCTTCAGCCTCTACATAGTCCTTGAATTCATGCACGATTTTTTCAATCGAACGTTTGTCTGAACTTGTAGCCCTGTGTATGCCACTATGCTTTTTAAATCCCTCAAACCAGACACCACACTTCTTGAAGTTGTCGAACCAGCCTCTGCTGGCTTTAAATTCACTAACAGCAGCACTCGTTCCAGGCATTTCTTTACGAGATCTGCGTGCGACTGCCTCACCTTTTCACAAATGATCGTCTCTGAAACACTATCTCCTGCTAATTGTTTATCATTGGTCCACACCAACAACAACTTCTCAACATCTTCAATTGTTTGTGATCTATTTTTCGTTAGCATATCTACCCCTTTCGCAACATTAGCTTCCTTGATTTCTTTTTTCTTCGCCAGGATGGAACTGATAGTTGATTTGTTTTTGCCATACATCCTGGCAAGCTTAAGCACACGCACACCACCTTTGTATTTTTCGACAATTTCTTTCTTCAATTGTATTATGTTTCTCACTTTCTTTACCAAAGGGCTGGCACTAGGAAGTTTTTTTGGGTCTATGGTTAATTATGTAGCAGTAGCACTTAATCAACAAGCACAAAAAACAATGGATTATTGTGAAATGTTTGGATGAACACGCAGGGTAATGTTCACTTGAGGAGAAACAAAGCCAGAGTGACTCACAATGCATGCGTGGGATGCTTTGTGTGGGCGTGGGGCAGGCGGACAGGTCTGATACGGCGGCCGAAACTCAAGGTACTGTTTGAAACTCAGGACAAAATTTAGACGAAAAAAGCGACCGAAACTCAAAACGGCCGAAACTCTAGGTTCCACTGTAATAATGCTAACAGTAATAAAAATAAAATAATAATACATGTAAATATAATCAATGAGAAGCATACACTAGCATACACATTTAATATGCCCAAGATTAAGTCACGAATGTATGAGCAGCCCAGGCAGACGCATCTGGTACCGACGATTTCCAAGCAGATGTACGAAACCTGGGGGAAAATTTTGCTGAAAAAAGTGCTCAAAATCCAAACTGTACGATTTCCACACCGAACGAAAGCCAGGGGTCCACTGTACCTTGATGTTGGTGAGGGGTTCTTGATAAAAAGTAGACCTTTCCCTGGATTGAACCTAATTGCCTCCCATTCCCTACATACTGCATGATCCTTATGAGTTTAAAGTTTCCCCTTGATTATAATAATTAAACCCCCTCAATGGAGGTTACTCGATGCCAGTGAGCGGCTCTTTATCTAAATAATTAGAGCTGTGCTTCCATTCCTTGGATCAAACCTAAATACCTACCATTCCCCCCCCCCCCTTGGTGCCGTATTACCCTGACAGGTTGAGTGCTGATATGAATATAATGATATAACAATAATAATTAAAGTTTGCTTATATCAATATTATTGGTGCCTTGTTTTGTCTCTTAGGTTTCTAACAATTTAATGATGGTTTAATGCAGCCTTTCTGACACCTATGCCTGCAGCATAAGAAGAATTTTTTTTTTTCTCCATGCCCTCAACCACTAAGGTAATGTAATGTGTACTGTATACTCTTTTAACACACTGGGCATTTCACACCAAGTTAGGAAGTTACCAAATTTTAATCGAACGAAAGCACTAAACCTGTACGAAGGTCATACAGAACCTGGGTAATATCAGTTTCAATCCAAGGAAAAGGAAAATAAATCCAGTTCCTTGGATCAACTGCCCCTCAAAGCACTTCCCATGAAAGGCTTTCCCAAAGGAAATGCATTCATCGTCACTTATGCAATAGCTGTATTGCCAGAAATGAGCAGACATCAGCATTCTTGTTTATCATAGAATTGATAATCAGCAACAGGCACTGAAAGAATGAGGGTTTGGCAAGCATATATTAGTGGGAAAGTAATAAGAATGAAATAACAAAATTTTGAGGCATAAGCAAATGAAAATAAAAATGACTCCGACTGGCATTATTAAAGGCAAGTGATGAGGTAAGAAAATATGTAACTAAATAATGCTCTAATAAGCATGCAGTGCACTACCTATAATTGTTAATTCTGTGTAAGTAATAATGTGTGAAGTCATGAACGTAGGAAGGTTTAGCGCTCCCTATGAATGTAATACAACCATAAGAACATACCCTGTTTTTTGTCTGTCAAGTAGGGAAGGTGCAAATGATCTGATGTAGGTACATGTGCAAATCATCAGCAACAAGACACACAACAAGCTCTCAAAATTGAAGAGAGCTGACTGAAAAGAACACAAAGATACACACATTACTTTTATGACACAATGTGAAAAAAAGGCAAGATTAGTTTACATCCATTTCTGTGCCTCACAGACCATTATTATACGAAGTACTGTAATAATATTATAGGTCAATCAATTTTACTTCTTTCAGATTTTCAGTGGTGTTTACCTGGAGTTTACCTGGAGAGAGTTCCGGGGGCCAACGCCCCCGCGGCCCGGTCTGTGACCAGGCCTCCTGGTGGATCAGAGCCTGATCAACCAGGCTGTTACTGCTGGCTGCACACAAACCAACATAAAAGCCACAGCCCGGCTGGTCAGGTACCAACTTTAGGTGCCTGTCCAGTGCCAGCTTGAAGACTGCCAGGGGTCTATTGGTAATCCCCCTTATGTATGCTGGAAGGCAGTTGAACAGTCTCGGGCCCCTGACACTTATTGTATGGTCTCTTAACGTGCTAGTGACACCCCTGCTTTTCATTGGGGGGATGTTGCATACAATTATAACATCAAACAGGAATTTGACAAAATTCTATTACATCCCACACTCCCCCAATGGGGAACTACTTCCAGATCACCACATGTACGTAAGTTTATTCAGGTATACACAAATACAGTTACATAAATTATTATACATAGCAGCATATGTGTAGAGAACCTAGGATAACCCAACTACATGGAGAAGACCCAGGCTAGGACCCATCCCTGCAAACCTACTGTACCTATTACAAATACAGTGCACCACAGACAACACACTTTTATACTAGAACAAGGTCTGAGCAACAGTTGACATAATTAACAGTGCTGCATACACAAAAATGATCTAGGTTTGGCCTAGGATAACCTAATAGTCAAACAATGAGATTCATTTCCAGTGGGATCCAAGGACAGGGAAATTGATTCTAATTATTTGGATCAAGAGCCCTTCAGGGGCCTTCAAGGGACACATGAAGGACATATTCACTCTGGCTGCTTTACTATAAAGCACATCTCTGGTGTCTGGTAATTCAATCAAATTTGCAATGAAATTAGTCTCGATAGACATTTATGTACAGTTCAGGACATTTATTAAAGCAAACATCTAATCACGAGTGGTTTCTTTAAGAGTAAAGAAGTCACTTGTAATGAAACATTTCCTGTAATAAATGATCTGAACTATATATAAGTGTTGATCCACAACTCGTTGCTAACGTATCATTAACAATGCAAATAGTCTAATTACTAGCCAGTAAAGGACAGCAGGTTAACAGTATGGACACTAGGTCAAAGACGGCACTTCTCCTCCAGCTCCAACTTCTAAAATATGGTTTAAAAAGCTTTAAAACTATCGTGAAATACCATAGTGAAGAGTTACTCCCAAGAACAACTACAGCTGATGACATCTTTCACTGCGATTGTCTACAATACATGTAATCCTTACATTAACAAAAAAAAATGCATTTTAACATTTTTAAATACAAATGACATTTTTTTAGTTAAGTGATATTGAAATTGCATTTATACTTTAAATTTATATTTATGTTCTAAATGCAATCGTAATGTTTATTTTATTGTGTTCTGTCGAGATTGTAATAGATATGCACAAAGAATTTTTTACATAGTGTAATAATGTACAAAATGACAATAAATTTAAAATAACAAGAATAAGTAAACAAATCAAGAAATCATTCTATGTACACCGATTACAATACATTTAAAAAGATTACCATACCTAAAGTAGCTCTTAATGCACTAAATAATTCCTTTGTAATATTATCTCAAGGAAACAAAAACAAAACTACAGTATGCAGTAACTCAAACATAATAGTACAAGTAAATATGAACTAGAATATAGGAGTTACGAAGGAGATAATGGAGAAAGTTAGAGAGTTAGTGGGGGTATGTGGTGATGAGGATGTGGTAACAGTGTGGCTGTGGCCTGAGTGTGAAGGAGGCTGAGGAGCTAACTTCAGTAGTCCCGTACGTGATATAAGTGTACGTGGTGGCTGTGCTCGCTCCTCCAGGATTCTCAAGTTCACGCGAATAAGAATGGATTCAGTCGAGGGAAATATAAAGCTGCTTCTGCAGGGGAAAGATGTAGAGGAGTCGCAAGAGTTCTGTGACTTCACGCTAGACATGCAGAATGAGGTGACAGGTGAGATGTGTGGGTGGTGATAGGCTGGATGGTGATAGGTTGGATGGTGGTAATAGTGATGGGCTGGATGGTGGTGGAGATACTGTCCTATTGAGAAATCAGTACTTTTTAAATACAAACATTTTCTTTGTCTTCCTCTCTGTCAGTCTCTCTGTCTGTATATATATATATATGTATGTATGTCGTGCCGAATATGTAAAACTAGTCAATTAGCAAAAACTCATTTAAAATTAAGTCCTTCCTCAAATTTTCTCCTATACGTTTAAAGATATATTTTTTCATTAATATTAATGTAAAAATTTTTAATTTTGCATTAAAAGAATCTTAGAAAACTTACCTAACCTTATTATAACGAGCAATTTATTTTAGGATAACCCAACTAAATATATTTTAGATTTGTTTGCAAAAATTTAATACTAAACATACACAATGAAATATATTTTTTTCGTTAGGTTCAGAATGATTTTGGCGAAATTATTGCATACACAAATTTTCACTTGTCCTATATGGCAAGATGAACGTTGCTATTTAAGCCAAGATCGCAAGTTCTGCCTATTCGGCACGACATTATATATATATATATATATATATATATATATATATATATATATATATATATATATATATATATCAATACAATTCGTCGTTATTTCTCGTGCAGATTGTTGTTTTTGGGAGATATTAACAGCAATAATATTTTTATTTTAGGACGTGCAGCACGTCCATGTAGGCAGATGTCAGGTCCAATTAACGTTAGTATTGACGCTCATGGCCTATCACAGTGAATGCAAACAAAATCAAATGTAAACAAAGGTGTGCCAGTCCCATATCTACCGCTGGCGAATAAGGTTAAGTTAAGCTGTTATAGCCTGGATTTCATTAGGTTAGGTGATGGGCTGGACGGTGATTATAGGAATGGGCTAAGTGGTGATGAGCTGGGTAGTGGTGAGGATCTGGGTAGTATAGGTAATAGGGGCTGGGTGGTGGTAGTGAAATGCTGGGTTTTGGTGGTTGCGGTGATGGTCTGGGTGTTTATAGTGATATGTTGCGTGGTGGTAGTAGGAATGAGCAAGGTGGTGTTGGTAGTTTTAGGGTGGTGATGGTGATAGTTGTAATGAGCAAGGTGGTGTTGGTAGTTTAATTTAGGAGGGGGGTGATGGTGATAGTTGAAATGGGCTGGGTAGTGGTGGTTGTGGTGATAGGCTTAGTGGTGGTAATGATGGGCTGGGTGGTTGATAGTGGTGAAGGGCTGGATGTTGGTGGTATGGTGAAGGGCTGGGTGTTGGTGGTAGTGGGGAAGGGCTGGGGATGATGGTAGTGGTGAAGGCTGGGTGGATGTAAGGTGAAGGGCTGGGTGGTGATGGTAGTGAAGGGGTGGGGGGTGATGGTAGTGGGGAAGGGCTGGGTGATGATGGCATTGATAAGGCTGGGTGATGGTAGTAGTGAAGGTCTGGGTGGGGAAGGTGGAATGGTGAAGGATTGGGTGATGATGGTAGTGGTGAAGGGCTGGGGGGTGGGGATGGTAGGAAGGGCTGGGTAGTGGTGATGGTAGTGATGAAGGGCTGGATAGTGGTGATGGTAGTGATGAAGGGGTGGGTGGTGGTGATGGTAGTGAAGGGCTAGGTAGTGAAGGCTGGGTGGTGGTGATGGTAGTGGTGAAGGGCTGGATGGTGATGATGGTAAGTGTGGTGATAGGCTGGGTGGTGGTGATGGTAGTGGTGAAGGGCTGGGTGGTGGTGATGGTAGTGGTGAAGGGCTGGGTGTGGTGATGGTAGTGGTGAAGGGCTGGGTGGTGGTGATGGTAGTGGTGAAGGGCTAGGTGGTGGTAATGGTAGTGGTGAAGGGCTGGGTGGTGGTGATGGTAGTGGTAACAGTCTGGGTTATGGTGGTAGTGGTGATAGGCTTGTAGCTCTGGTCAAGAGTGTGTCGCTTTGGTGCATCAAATCCATAGTTATATGGCCTAGTGCCAATGCTGGAGACAGGAGTGCACTTCCAGGAGCTTTTATGGCTTGCTCAGGGAATATGTGGTGGCATCAGGAGGGGCGTGCCGATTCTTCTTCTTACAACTTACTTTCATTAACCCTTAGTAAGTTTATTTAGGTACAGTTACACATAAGTACGGTTACGCAAGATTAGGGGATTCCAGTTATCATACATAACAACATAAGTGTAAATTACTTAGAATAACCCAGTGAAGTCAGTGACTTATTTCCATTGGGGTTCGAACCTCTTGCATCACCTGAGCCTATTACTACCTACAAACTTTTTTAAGGTCACTGGGAGCACCTCGAAGCACTTGGGGTGTACGGTCTACAACGGAGAAGAGAGAAACTTGATAATATACATACAGAAGATACTTGAGTATGAAGTATCCTATCTGCGCATTATCTTAACGTACTGGAGGGAGAGGTATAGGTGGAAGCTTGAAATAAATCAGGTGAAAGTAGGGGTTTCATAGACATAGAACAATGTTAACATCAGTTGGACACTGACTGCTGTTCACCTAGTTACCCTCAAGGAGGTTCCTTGATGCCGGTGACGGGGTCTTGATCTAAGGGACCGAATTTGTGCTCCTCTTTCTTAGATCGAACCTGAATACCTCTCATTACCGGCAGGCGCTGTATGACCACTCCTCGTTTAGCGTTCCCATAAATGTAATAATAATAATAATAATAATAATAATAATAATAATATTAAATAATAATCTACATGCTACCAACATATATGAGACATTTTGCTGGAACAAAGTACACGAGGAAACTGGACTGATACCTCCAAGAAGTGCCAGAACAGCAAGGTTATATGACTATGCTCCTCTCGCAACCGGTTACAGATACATCAGGGCATCTAAGTGAAAACAAAGATACTTCAGAATTTAAGCAAATATGTCTAATTTACTCGCATATCAAAGTGTATTCTTGTTAATTTCTGTAAGATTTAGTTCCCAGGCCTTTGTGTATCGGCATATTTTCGCAATCAATGATAGGCTTTAGCCCTTTCGGATCTCCGCGTTATTATGCATGTGGTGTAGTGCAGACGTAAATGATCAGTCTCAGCGTGTAAAGTGAAAACTGTTGTTCGCTCTAGATAATGGCTAGAACTTGAAGCTAGAGATTTATTCCCTTTCCCTTATTGCTAGTGATGGGATCTTGATCAAAAGGATTTGAACTACTACCTTTCTTTAGATTAAATTTGATTACCTCCTAATTCATAGGAGCTGTACGACCCCTGCGAGTTTAGCGCTTCACCATGAATATAATACTTGAGGTGCAGCATTGTACTTACCTGTTGACGGTTCCAGGATCATTACATACTGCATTGTCCCGGACCAGTCCTGGTGACTGGCCTGATCCATCAGTGGTTATTCTAAACTGTAATTTGAACTTAGTTTTAAATTTGCCCACACAATGTTTAGTTAGGCACAGATTCGGCGCAAGAATGTTTTAGTGGTTACATATGGTGCTCTTAACTCAAATTGGCTTGCCCTGTGGGACCGAGGGTTCCATCTCCGGACGAGAGGAAATGGTGGGCATGTTTCTCTACACCTGCTGCCTGTCTGTTCATCTAGCAGTAAGTAGGTACCCGAGTGTTAACATCCTGGAAAAGAGAATTAAAAGACCCCCATTGGAGATAAGCCAGTCTGATGACATATCTTTTTTGGATTATCCTGGGTTAATAGCCCTCCGGGCTAATAATTCAAACAAAATTTTCCTCTCGACGTCACATGTTTCATCGTAAGGATGTTATGTAGTGTTTTCTGTTCAGTGTGTCTTCCAGGAAATGCTATCGTAGCCCCTGGCTCTGTTTCTTATGAAAAATGTTATGGCGATAACGACAAGATGTGGAAAAAGACACTTATGTACAGTTATGTCCTGAACGGTACATAAGTATCCTTTTCCACATCTCTCATATTGGTGTTCTATGACGTATTCTGGTTTAACTGTTAGCCGTCAAAATAATAATAGACCACCAACATTTTCATCACTAGTACA